GACTTCAATCATTTCACTGTGTACTACAGCAGGAACAAAGCCATTCCGTGCCTCCGGCACGGATTTATCAGTGCTTGGGCACGTGCCGTCGCGTGCAGGTCACAATCTCCGGGCTGCGCCCGGAGATTGTGACTTATGACAGTTCAACGAGTAATGCCTGGGCTTCGCCCAGGCATTACTCGTTGGAAAAGCAATAGGCCCTTACCCCGGTTGGGGGCTCGGGCCTAATAATAACCAATAAATAATTTTTTTTTTGAAATCTTCGAGCAAAAACAATATAGGTTTCCATAGTAACCTATAATACAAATGATACGTCGTTTTAAAGCGAACGACCAGACGAACGCAACTATTGGGTTCTCGGTGATTGACGAGCGCTGACGCGCTCGTCAATCACCTCGCCATCATGAGGTCACCCACCCCCCCCATAGGACCCCATTGATTACACTGTGTACTACAGCAGGAGCAAAGCCATTCAGTGCCTCCGGCACTGTTTTGTCAGTGTCTGGGCACGCGCCGTCGGGCTTGGGGGACGAATGTCCGGGCTTCGCCCGGACATTCGTCCGTAAGACAGTTGAAGGAACCCCCCTTTAATAGGACTCAATCATTTCACTGTGTACTACAGCAGGAACAAAGCCATTCCGTGCCTCCGGCACGGATTTATCAGTGCTTGGGCACGTGCCGTCGCGTGCAGGTCACAATCTCCGGGCTGCGCCCGGAGATTGTGACTTATGACAGTTCAACGAGTAATGCCTGGGCTTTGCCCAGGCATTACTCGTTGGAAAAGCAATAGGCCCTTACCCCGGTTGGGGCTCGGGCCTAGCCTATAGTTTAACAGCAACATAAATACCACGTCACAGAGAGTGCTAAATCACAGATTGTTTTGAGCCCAAAATGGTGAGGTGGACAGAGAGAGAACAGAGAGAATTAAAGCCGCAAGCGGCATCTAACGGCCCTCGCCGCACCGCGCAAAGGAGGTGGCGCTGACGCGCCATTTTCCTACCGCCCTGATAGGAGCGACACTGTGCATTTTGAATTCCTATGATCAGTGATTGTGTGTGTCTCTACTGAATAGAAAAACCTCTTTCTCCCCATGCAACACTTGAATCAGTCTGTAGGGGGCGCTATTGCTGCAATTTCATGATTCACACTTTCAGTTCACTCAAACCCAAGAGTTGAACAGTCAATTCAAATTTTGTGCAAATCGGACTTTGTATGTGCAAATGGAGGCATTTAATGTTGTATAATAGCGCCCCCTGCAATTTCAATTTTTTTGTCTTATACCAAAGAACACCAAAATAATACAGTTTATGCTTGAAAAAAACTTGTTGCAAAGTTTGGTGATTTTTTATGTTTTTTCAGTGGGTCAAATATGAGATCAAACAACATAAAACCTGAACACCTTTATCCCCATGTAAACCTTTACTCAGCATATAGGGGGCGATAATGGACCAATGTCATTGTTCACACTGTCATGTGACCTAGGCCCAGGAGTTGAACAATAGAGTCAAGTTTAGTGCTAATCAGAGTTTGGAAATGTGCTCCTGTTTCACATACAATCTGTGAGTGTGTCCACACAGTGTCCATTGGATAACATGGGAACTTCACACCTCTCTATGAAAATAACCACACTTTGGGAGTCTGTCACGCGCAAACCGTTTAACTAATTTCAAATTCTATATGCAACTATTGATGGTCCATGTGTTGAGACGATGTGGAGCGATTTTCAGCCAAATTAATGAAACGGCCGCGGCTGGTTTGATGTTTGAGCGAGGTGTACTTTTCAGAGATTTAACGATTTTCCCATAGACACAGACAGGGGAGTGTTGGTGGTCGCCACGGCAACAGGGTAAAAAATAATCATATGTTGTCATTGACTTTTTGAATCCAGATGACAAAACAGAATTATGTACAAAATTTCAAACATTTTGACAAAACTAAATTGTATTAGGCCCATGTAAATCTTTGACATAGTCTGTAGGGGGCGCTAATGAGCCAATTTCAATATTTCAACTTTCAAATGACCTAGACCCTGGAGCTGAACAATGGATTACAATTTTGTGCAAATCTGACTTTTTTTGTGCAAATGGGGGCAAATTTACTTTTTATCAAAAATTGGGAAAAAAATGTCACATTTTGCCGCTCCGCTGCTCGGACAACGTTTAACTGATCCAAATTCTATATTCAATAATTGATGGGACATGGGTTTAGACCATGTGGAGCGATTTTGAGACAAATCGGTGAAACGGCCGAGGAGGAGATAATTTCCAGCCGACATGTGTGAAAAAGATCAATTTTCATTTTTGCATTTTCCAATTAAATTGTTGAGTTTCCTGTTTGTCAGGGGGTGGAGCCATAATAAGTTTTTTTTCATGTCTTGACTTGAGGAACATGTGTACCGAGTTTCGTGGCTCTACGACAAACTTGACCTCCGACCCCCTCCCATAGGCGCAATGTAAACTGACTTTTGTAGGGGGCGCTGTTCGGTCATTTTTTTAGTCCCATAAAAATAAACACCAAAAAAATTTATTTTTCGCCGGTTCTGAATTTTGGGCAAAATTTCACAACTTTTCATCAATGTTCAGGGGGTCAAATTAAGGTTCAAAGCGCAGAAGAAAAAAGAAAGAAACCAAGGAATTTTTTTTAAAATCTTCGAGCAAAAACAGTATAGGTTTCCATAGTAACCTATAATACAAATGATACGTCGTTTTAAAGCGAACGACGAGGCGAACGCAACTATTGGGTTCCCCATTGATTACACTGTGTACTACAGCAGGAGCAAAGCCATTCAGTGCCTCGCCCGGACATTCGTCCGTAAGACAATTGAAGGAACCCCCCTTTAATAGGACTTCAATCATTTCACTGTGTACTACAGCAGGAACAAAGCCATTCCGTGCCTCCGGCACGGATTTATCAGTGTCTGGGCACGTGCCGTCGCGTGCAGGTCACAATCTCCGGGCTGCGCCTTATGACAGTTCGCCCAGGCATTACTCGTTGGAAAAGCAATAGGCCCTTACCCCGGTTGGGGCTCGGGCCTAAAAAGTCCTGAGAGAGACCAGGGAGGGACCAGAGAGAGACCAGAGAGGGACCAGAGAGAGACCAGAGAGGGACCAGAGAGAGACCAGAGAGAGACCAGAGAGAGACCAGAGAGAGACCAGAGAGAGACCAGAGAGAGAACAGAGAGAGACCAGAGAGAGACCAGAGAGAGAACAGAGAGAGACCAGAGAGAGACCAGAGAGAGACCAGAGAGAGAACAGAGAGAGACCAGAGAGAGACCAGAGAGAGACCAGAGAGAGAACAGAGAGAGACCAGAGAGAGACCAGAGAGAGAACAGAGAGAGACCAGAGAGAGACCAGAGAAAGACCAGAGAGAGGCCAGAGAAAGACCAGAGAGAGGCCAGAGAGAAAAAGTTCTGAGAGAGGAACCAGAGAGAGGCCAGAGAGACCATAGAGAGACCAGAGAGGGAACAGAGAAAGAAAAATCACATTTCTTTAGATAATGAGTTATAACATACACCCTACAGTAATTTAGGATTTATGTTCAGTTCATGATAATCATTTGAAATATAGGTCAGAGCCACATATACAAACGCATTTATGGGAAAGTCTTTAGAACTGTATCACTCAGTGGCACGGCGGCGGAGTGGATAGCACTCTCGCCTCTCAGCAAGAAGGTCCTGAGTTCGAATCTCGGTTGGACAAGGGCCTTTCTGAGTGGAGTTTGCATGTTCTCCCCGTGTCTGCGTAGGTTTCCTCTGGGTTCCCCTACCACTAAAAAATATGTACAATAGGTCTGGCATGCGACCCCGCTCCCATCTCTGTGTGGAGTGAGAGGACAAATGCCCAAAAATAACAATTGTAAAACGCTTTGAGCCTCTGGTCTGTGAAAGGCGGTATATAAATAAACATTGCTTAATTATTTACTGTCAGACATGGACAGCCCTATTACTGGCAAACATCTAAGAGTCAAAGCTGTAAAACCGGTTTCACCACATATCTGAGTCAGATCTAAAAAGTTTCTTTCACTGCTGTTGCTCGATCCGTCAACAGGTACGTTCGTTTTATTGTTATTGATATATATATATATATATATATATATATATATATATATATATATATATATATATATAAACATAAAAATATGTATATTCTATCTGGGTGTGGGCAAAAGAAGAGTGTTTTATGTTTTAATAGAGGTTCTTTGGTTTATTACATTACGCACTGAGATAAAAGTACTGTTTTATTGTTTAGTTTAGTTTTGTTTATTGAGATCCCCATTCACCACTGAGATGCAGTAAAAATGTGTTGAACTGGTTGTTTTGATTTCTCTTTGTATGATGTTCATTATTTGTGAGGCATCGCATTATCTGGACTGTATCAAGTTCAATCCTTTAGGACCACGGCGTTAGACAATTAAACCTGGGGTATGTAATTTTAAATCCCTCTGGTTTCTGCCTCTAAAAACAGAGCTGCGTCTGTCACTAATTTTCACATTCAAGTATTTTTGGGGTTTGAGAGCCCAGAGAGAGACCAGAGAGACCAGAGAGAGACCATGAGGGAGATCAGAGAGAGACTAGAGAGAGACCATGAGGGAGAGAGAGAGAGACCAGGTAGTGTATCTGAGCTTTGATCTAATCTTTGCAATTGAGATTTTGGAAGAACATTTCAAATAAGGTCGCACATCCCTGTAGTCTGGGCTAGCGTGCTCGGTTAAAACGTAAAAACAGTGAAAAAAATCCGCACAGCTATGTAGCTCCCTATCAGTGTATTTTATTTGCATACCACGCTGTAAAGTTTCGGGCTGAGGCCCTTCGTCAGACAATTGAGATTTTGGACCACATTTCCTCAATAAACTGTTTCCAGGAGTTAGTGACATGTCCACATAATTCCTGTGTTGTTACTGTGTGAAAGTTGGGTACCCCAGCTTTAAACATGTTTCTGACACCAACAGGATTCATGAGTCTTTACCACAGTCACTGTTCTCTTTCAGCCTGTCTGCAGACCATGGCTCAGGAGGGGACCAGAACAGGCCCCACCGCTCACCTGGCAACCACAGCCCCCAAAGCTCAGAGGTAAAGAGGATCTTTACCACTGTTCTTCATAAGCTCGGACTAAAGTCACTGCTCCCTGTGTCCACAGACCTGCTCTTGGCATCAGCGCTTCAGCCATCAAAAGTGACTCCTCTATGGGACGATATGCACAGTTTAGACAGGATCCGTGAGTGAAACTCATCTGTTAGAATGACTCTGATAAAGGCATGGAGTCTGAGGTTCTCTGAGGCTGTTTCTGAAGCCAGAACACACATGGTGCAGGTCACACATGGTGCAGGACACACATGGTGCAGGACACACATGGTGCATGACACACATGGTGCATGACACACATGGGAGTGAGGAGCACACAACACACATTATTAAGTAGCACAACTCTGTACTTTACAGATAAAATTAAGTATAAAGTTGTGCCATGTGTTATAGAGGATCCATCTTGTGCTCCTTTGCTCAAAGGAAAGAACAAATTAATTTCTATGTCTCCTTTAATAAAACAGTTTTTTTTTCTGAAGTGAATGTGAAGTGTTTCAGAAAGAGGGTCTGTACCACTGTTCTTCCGAGCTCGGACTGAAGTCACTGCTCCCTGTGTGTCCACAGACCTGCTCCTGGGATCAGTGCGGCCTCTGTTACAAGTGACAGCTCTATGGGACGATACGCACAGTTTAAACAGGATCCGTGAGTGAAACTGTCACATTTTCAGTGGTATCTCGTCCTTTAGTGGCATTTTCAGTGGTACAGAAGTTTGTGAAGAGGCGCTGAGGTCATGTTACAGAGTCAGAGTAGAAGTGGTAGTGAAAATGCCACTAAACCTAAACCTAAATCACAACAGCTGTTATCTCTGAGGACTTTACAAAGTTGTCGATTCGTCAACACAGGTCAAAGAATCAAACATTGAGAGAGGGATCAGCTCTCATGGACTGACTAGCTGTAGATCCAGTACTGAGGTTGTGGATCCAGAAATCAGGCTGTAGATCCAGGACTGTCAGAGCTTGGACTAAAGCCACTGCTCCCTGTGTGTCCACAGACCTGCTCCTGGGATGAGCGAGGCGCCTGTCACTAGTGACAGCTCTATGGAACGATATGCACAGTTTCAGCGGTGGGTGAAGCCTGTTTACAGTAGATACACTTAAGCACATTAATTTGAAGTTCTGAAACGACCTCAGAAGTGAAAGTTTCCATCAATTGTGTTGGGAAATAATAATCTCTCGTTCTTCCAGACTGGAGCGAGAAGGTTCAAATGTACAAGAACAGACACAGCTGGAGTCCACGTTGCAGGTCTGTCCTTCTCTCAGCGTCATTACCAGGTTCTGTGCTTGTTGTTTTGTAGATGTCCCAACATGGTGGCAGTCGCCCAGAACCTAGACCCTGATGGTGGGAGATAAGTTTAGTGGTGTGTAAAGGAAAGAAGTAGTGCAAAAAAACTGGTCTGTCTGATGAGGAGTTGATAGGGAGGAGGACGGGTTGCTGGATGATATAAAAGAGATGATTTGCTGACTCTGGAAGTACCACACTCTGCTCCTCCTGCTCAAGACCAAAGGAGACCATGGCAGGGCTGGAGGATTTTTACTAAGTGATATGTTTTGTGGTAGGCACTCGGAGGAAACCTATGCAGACTTGGGGAGATCACGGGTTTGTCTCTGTCTCCAAACGTTCTGTTTTGCTTACAGCCGGAGGAGCAGAACTGTGGTCATGTGACTAAAACCAGTTATAATGTTTTCTATTTGTGTCTGTGCAGCATCTGGAGGAGAACATCTCCACCTTTGTCCAGGTGGAACTCAAGCAGCTACGCAGGCTTCTGAGCACAGATTACCCAGGAAACTTAGAACCTATGGAGAATTAGGAGCACAGGAGCAGCAGTGAGTCTTTCCTGCAGATCACACTGAACTTCCTGAGGAGGATGGAGCAGAAGGAGCTAGCTGAGCGTCTGTGGAGCAGTAAGAATTTGTTTACTTCATGGTGGACATGTGATCTTTTCTCAGACTCCTGTGTTTCTTGTCTTCATCTAGGGGTTTCTTCTGGACGTTCTCAGCGTAAACTGAAGGTGGAGCTGCAGCAGAAGTTTGAGTGTGTGTTTGAGGGTATTGCTAAAGCAGGAACCCCCACTCTCCTGAAGCAGATCTACATCGAGCTCTACATCACAGAGGGAGGCTCTTCAGAGGTCAACCAGGAACATGAGGTCCGACACATGGAAGTAGCCTCAAGGAAACCGGCAGAGAGAGCCATCACATGTGAAGACATCTTCAAAGACCCGGCCTACTCAGACAAACTAATCAGAACGGTGCTGACAAAGGGAGTGGCTGGCATTGGAAAAACAGTGCTCACTCAGAAGTTTAGTCTGGACTGGGCTGAAGGCAAGGCCAACCAGGACCTCCAGCTGCTGTTCCCCTTCACTTTCAGAGCTCTCAATGTGCTAAAGGACAGAAGATTCAGCCTGCTGTCACTTGTCCATCACTTCTTTAGTCAAACACAAGCAGAACTCTGCAGCTTTGAAGACCTCCAGGTGCTCTTCATCTTTGACGGTCTGGACGAGTGCAGACTTCCTCTGGACTTCCGCAGCTCTCGTGTTCTCTCAGACCCCACAGAGTCGGTCTCTCTGGACCTGCTGCTGGTGAACCTCATCAGGGGAAGCCTGCTTCCCTCCGCTCGCCTCTGGATCACCACACGTCCTGCGGCAGCCAATCAGATCCCTGCTGAATGTGTTTCCATGGTGACAGAGGTCCAAGGCTTCAGCGACTCTCAGAAGGAGCAGTACTTCAGGAGTAGGTTCGGAGAGCAGGCCGACACAATCCTCTCCCACATCAAGATGACCAGAAGCCTCAACATCATGTGCCACATGCCAATCTTCTGCTGGATCACTGCCACAGTCCTGGAGCATGAGTTAAAGAACAGAGAGAGAGGAGAGCTGCCCATAAGTCTGACGCAGATGTACAGCCACTTCCTGGTGGTTCAGGCTAAAGTTAAGAGCATCAAGTATAAAGAAGGATCAGACAGCGACCCACACTGGAGGCCAGACACCAGAGAGATGGTGGAGTCCCTGGGAAAACTGGCCTTTGAACAGCTGCAGAGAGGAAACCTGATCTTCTACGACTCTGATCTCAGCGAGTGTGGGCTGGACGCTGCAGCAGCCTCAGTGTACTCCGGAGTCTTCACACAGGTCTTTAGAGAGGAGCCAGGCCTGTACCAGGACAAGGTCTACTGCTTCATCCATCTGAGTGTGCAGGAGTTTCTGGCTGCTCTTCACGTGCATCAGACCTTCATCAACACTGGGATCAACCTGCTCTCACAGAAAACACGTAAGTCGCCAACACTCAGTGTGAAAAGGAATCTCCATTATCTTCACCAGACAGCTGTGGACCAGGCCTTACAGAGTCCAACTGGACACTTCGATCTTCTTCTCCGCTTCCTCCTGGGCCTTTCCGTATCGACCAATCAGAGTCTTTTAAACGGTCTCCTGAAACAGACAGGAAGTAGCTCCCAGACCAATCAGAAGACAGCGGAGTACATCATGAAGAAACTCAGTGAGGGTGTGTCTGCAGTAAGGGGTATCAGCCTGCTCCACTGTCTGAATGAACTGAATGAGCGTTCTCTGGTGGAGCAGATCCAACAGGCCCTGAACTCAGGGCCTCTGTCTGAGGGACTGTCTCCTGTTCAATGGTCAGCTCTGGCCTTTATCTTACTGTCATCAGAAGATGATTTGAACGCGTTCGAGCTGAGCAAATACTGTGCTTCGGAGAAGGCTCTCCTGAGGCTGCTGCCAGTGGTCAAGGCCTCCACCAAAGCTCTGTGAGTAATATTTCTCTAACAGAGGATTCAACATAACGTTGAAATTGACACAACATAATGTTTTCTGCCTTCAGACTGAGCCGCTGTGAGCTGTCAGACAGAAGCTGTGAAGCTTTGGCCTCAGTTCTCAGCTCCCGGTCCTCTAGTCTGAGAGTCCTGGACCTCAGCAACAACAACTTAAAGGACTCAGGGGTGAAGATGTTGTGTGTCGGACTCAAGAGTCCTGATTGTAAACTGGAGAAGCTCAGGTCAGAAAACATCATATTTTTTTCATGTGAAATAGGAATCCTCAGTGTGTTGATTAAGCTGAATTTGTATTGGATTTCCTTCTTTTCAGACTGTCAAGTTGTCTGGTATCAAAAGAGGGCTGTGCTTCTCTGGCCTCAGCTCTGAGGTCCAACCCCTCCCATCTGAGAGAACTGGACCTCAGCTTCAACCATCCTGGAGACACTGGAGAAAAGCTGCTCACTGATCTGTTGCAGGATCCCCACTGCACACTGGTCACTCTCAGGTACAGACAAACCCTGTAGAGCAGGTGGATCATGAGTACAATGACACTGGAGGCTGAGGGCGATGGTCGACTGTTATAGCTATAGTTTTAGAATGAAACACATACATGAAAATAGGATGTACTTTCTGTCTTCAGATTGGAGCCTGCTGGGGCCTGGTTCCTCAGTCAAGGGCATACGAGGTGTAAGTGCTACTTACTATATATCAAACCACTTGATTCAAAATGTTTCCTTTACCTGACAGTTGATTGTGTTTGTACTGTTTCTTTTTCACTAGATTTCCATGATCTCACTCTGGCTACAAACACTACTCACAGAAAACTAAGACTATCAGACAACAACAAGAAGGTGACCTTTGTGAGCGACAAGAAGCCAGCTCATCAGGACAGATTTGACCTGAGTGCCCATATTCTGTGTCCTACTGGTCTGACTGGTCGCTCTTACTGGGAGGTCCAGTGGAGCGGCAAGGTGCTTATATCAGTGTGTTACGGTGGAATCAGTCGTAAAGGAGCCAGTGGTGAATGCGCATTTAGAAATAACAATCAGTCCTGGAATCTGATGTGTTCGAAAGATGGTTTCTCTTTTCATTATAATGATCAAATCACCCATCTACAGCCGAGGGGCTCTTCTTGGAGAGTGGCAGTGTTTGTGGACCATCCAGCTGGATATCTGTCCTTCTACACAGTCTCTACTGAAGGAGTGACCCACCTCCACACCTACAACACCACTTTCAGTCAGCCTTTGTTCCCCGGATTTACACTCCTTGCTGCAGGCTCCTCAGTGGCTCTCTGCACCCCCTTGAGCCCCATAAAAAGAGCATAAACAGATCATCCCTGGACTTTCTGCCTGGATCCTTCCCGGCTCTCTGCTATACAAAACTCAAAGCAAACAAAAGACAAGAACATTCATTTTTACACTGAGCAGCAATAAATGCTGATGCTTTCACCACTTGATACTAACTTTATCCCTGCACTGAAGGGAGTGGTAAGGGTGAGCCATGGCTAACACTAGAGCCCTGGATCATCTCTGGTCAGAACAGAAGGTTTGACTGAGTGCAAACCAGCCAGCACTCTTAAGAAAATGTGTTTGTAAAAGGGTTTTGGGCCTCATTAATTAATCCAGGTCCTAAACTACAGACAAAGTGAAATAGCAAGTGCAGTTCCAGAGGTGTAGCTATACGGGGCAAGTGCAGAATAGGATCTACTTGTCAGAGATTCCAATCACATCTGCACACAAGCAAGCCTTTGATAAATATACCTTATTTATCAGTGTTTAAAAACCAAGTCACTTCGATTTGGTTCTAATGTCTACTCTCTTCTTCTTGGCTTCAATTTTCCCCATCACATTTTTAAAACCGCTACTGTATCCATGGAATCTCCCATCAAGACCGGGTCCAAATCAGGTATATACCAGGTCCAAACCAAGTCGAGGTCCAGGTGTAACCTGGTATGCTGGCATGCCGTCAGACCCGTTCCCGGAGCAGATGGAAAGGGTGTGTATGCAGCACAACTCCACAAAAGGACTTTGAAATCACAGCAAATAAATGGACAGATTATGAGGTGCAGGCAATTGTCTTCCACAGCACTGTAGAGATTCAGATGGGGTTTGAGGCATTGCGGCAAAATGAAAAGTAAAAAAAAAATGATGCAGGACTATAAAAAACTCAAAGACCCCAACAACTGGAGCAATTCTGCCCATATAGTGAAAACATATTGATTGTGCGGCGATTGAAACTCATGACGTCGCCGAGGGGGCCTACTCTGCAGCTGAGACACGGCCACTGAGAGGACAGAGCAGGGCTCGACATTAAGGTTGTCCGCTTGCCCAGGGCAAATAAAGATTTGGGACGGGCTTGTGCGCTGTTTTAGCAAGTTGCCCAACCGGGCAAGTGAAGTATTACTTCAACCCATTCAATTCTTACTCTGGAGCCGGGAGCAGGCGAGTCTCTTTTTTTGACCAATTCTCGTAAAAAATTTCCACGGATCCGCAATTCCCGACTGTTTTACGCTGACAATGCAATTTGGGCGGATTTTTTCCCGCATTCTGTCTCTCACAGTTGAAGTGTACCTATGAGGAAAATTACAGACCTCTGTCATTATTTTAAGTGGGAGAACTTGCACAATTGGTGGCTGACTAAATACTTTTTTGCCCCACTGTACATGTATGTCTAAAAAACAGGGAATAAATAAAATTGAAGGGTGATATCCTCTGGAGGAAACCTTGATGTTGATACGCTGAAGAATGGAAGAATGGATGTTCCAACATCCATTCTTCCCACTCCTTTTTTGGACATCTATTGCTTTTTTATTTTGCATTAAATAATGTATAATTAAATTACTTTTATTTTGTTTTTCTCATCTCAAATTTCCAAATAAAAAGTGTGTGTGTGTGTCAATATCACACACATACTCAAGAGTAAAGTAAGTTGTATTTGAATGGACTAAAAACAACTTTTGTGATGATTGGTGAGGATGATGTTGAGGGCCGATTCTTTTTTTCTTCCTTCTGTTCCTTGTTTATGCTTCACGGATGTTTAAACATTATGTATATTATATATGTAGTATATTGACATGACCAATAAAATTAATAAAAAATAAATAATACGTCCCTGGCTGCATTACTGCCTTTGTCCAGCAGAGGTCTCGCGAATACAACGAAGCCCCGGAAATGTCACCAGGGCTGCTCCGTGTCACAAAACTCAACTTGAGCCAAACTCCACGGACACTATGCGCTGCTGATTCTCCCAAAACACGTCTGCAGAGCCCCGTGGGAGATTAATCTGCGAACATGACCAATGGTGAGCTCCAGACAGTTAAATTATAACTCCGAATATGCACTGACAGCATCAAAACAACATGTGGGAGCTAAGATGCTAACTGGAGCTAATGCTAGTGTAGCTGCTGCTGTGGACGTGGCCTGACTTTACTCACCTGACAACCTGTTTATACCGCTTTTTCTGCCAATATTGGACAAGTTTGCCTTGTTTAGTTGGTTAAATATGTCTGTCGTCATATTCTGTTACTCTGTATTAAGAGGTCTACGTTGCAGAAAGCTGATTGTAAACGAATGGTCATAGACAAAAAATGACTCTTTAGTTGCTACATTATTGTAATTTCTTAACCAATTCTAAAAGGGAAAGATGTTACGACAAGTTTCCGTCACTGCTAAGTCAAGTAATGTATTTTAACAACCATAGAAGGGTAAAATTATTAGTATATGGCTTTGTTGCGGACACAAATGATAGATAAACATTAAAAGACAAAGATATGACACATTTATTTGTATGGCACAGTTCATACATAATGCAACTCAAAGTGCTTAACAAAACCACATAGAAACAATCACACATTGAATTAGAATAATAACTAATCACACGTACTTTGGAGAGTGGAGATGCAATTCTTCAGTTGTATGCAAAACTAAACATAACTGTCTTTAACCTGGATTTGAACATTGTCAGTGTAGAAGCCTGTCTCACATTTTTAGGTTGACTGTTCCAGATTTTTGCTCCATAGAGCTGAAATGTTGCCTCCCTATGTTTAGTTCTGACACTGGGCACCATCAGGAGGCAGTCCCTGTGCTCCCCAGAGTCCGACTTGGTTCATGTGGCACTAGTCACAGATGTACTCTCCATGTTTCCTAGTCTCTCCATGTGCGAGGCCATGGAGAGACTTGTGCACAACTTTATTTAATACTTAATATTATTTAATATTTAATATTTTGCATATTTGTAAGGAATGGCCCTGTCACTATTTGATGCTATGGGCTGAGGGCTAATTGGCTGGGTGAGGGTGGCTCTCTCTGTTTCACTTTTCTGATTGAAAAAACTGATCTCAAGATTTGACAAAGGCAAGAAATACATGAGTGTGAAAACTAGTGACTTAAGTATTCAGCCGATAATGTTTCATTCCTTTAGCATTTTGAGGAGCTATTTGCGGTGAGCTACTGATGTAAGAGTAAGTGGTTCTTGTTACAATTATCAATATGAACGTGTTTTTCTTTTTTTAGAAAATGAATTAATCCTCAAACCGTTCTGTGTGTGTTTTTGCAGTCTACTCATTTGATGGGATTGTGGTGTTTGGACTGCTGTTCATCTGCACGTGTGCGTACTTCAAGAAGGTCCCGCGCCTCAACAGCTGGCTGCTGTCTGAGAAGAAGGGCGTGTGGGGGGTCTTCTACAAAGGTCTGTGTTGTGTACGCTCTCTCTGTTCACACTATCAACTAATATGAGCTCCATCTGCATTCTTGTAGTTTCCTCTTCTAGTTTAATGTTTAATTCAATTTATTTAAATTAAATTGTGTATAGCGCTAAATCACATCAGCTGTCGCCTCTGAGGACTTTACAAAGTTGTGGACTTCTCAACAAGTTTTCCTACGGAAAACGCAATAACAAACACATAGGAGCCATTGGTCCATAGGAAGCGGGATGCCCACTGTCCATAAATGTCCATAAATGTCTTTAAATGTCAGTGATTTCCCAGATCCTCACTTTCCTTAGACCCTTCTGCATCGGCAAGGAACGACTCAAATTAAAATGAGAAACCTGATGCGCACATTGAGAGTGGGATTTTCTCCCACAGACGGACAGGCTGTAGAATGAGGAGTGAGGCAGGACTAACTTGAATAGTTGTATAATTATTCATGATAATAATTATGAGAGCCGCAAACTCTGATGGTAAGTCATTACACTGTCGTTATGCAAAGTATTGTCCCTCGTGTTGCTTGCGTTATGGAGATATATCCTATTTTAACTACATCAGTCAAAAAGATAAAAACTTTGTTGTGCAGTGCAAGCTTTGTGCAGCAAGACGTTGTCCACTGCAGCAACTCATTCTCAAACCTTTTAAAACACTTACAGCATCAAGACTCTACAATTATGGTAGTCTCTAAAGAGCGTATCAGCAAAGCCACCGCTGGTATAAGCAACCTGGGCTTGAATTTCGCTGTCAGGTCAAACCTCAAAGACTGAAATAAATAAACTAGTAGCGTTTGTTGTAGAAGAGATGATGCTCATTTCCACTGTAGAATCGGCATCTTTCAAAAACATTTACACAAAATACAAACCGGAGTGATTCAACAGTACAAGCGACAGACAAACATTGCAACTCTCTGGAGTTACCAAATGAATTGTCCTGGATACTAAAGTTATTTACTTTCATGTTGGTGTTCTGCCATTTGTTATGAACAACATTCTTGTTGTTGACCTTTAATTTCAATGGCTTTTATAAAGCAAACATACAAACTTAATTCTGTTCTCTATATTTGAGACACAAAGTCCAAAAGTAATTTTACTTGGTTGCAGCTTTTTACCAACCTCAGCCTGAACCTCAGAGAGATTCAAAGTCAGTCCTTGTGAATTTGTGAAGCGTTTGAATTACCATGTCATGTTTTACGGACACAATGAGATCCATAATGCCTTTTTGGTGAGTTCTGAACAATCAAGGGGCAGATGGAAAACTTAAATATGAGATTAACATCTAAAATATAAAAATGAATAATCCTACCCATTGATGTGACTGTTGAGTTCAATTTCCCCACGCGTCATGTCACCTACTAACCACTGAAATCTGCTGTCGCTGAATCCCTGGGCAAGACACTGAAATACCAAAGCTGTGTCACCGCAGCTTGGATTTTCGGAAATAGGCCGATTGAATAAATGGGAAGAAAATGAATGAATATAAAGAATATAAATAGCATCTAGTGAGTAGGGCTGCACGATATAGCCAAAAAATTATTGCGATATTGGTGCGTGCGATATCCATATCAAAGAGATGCACAATAATTTATTTTATTTTTTCTCCTTTATTAAAGGAGCAATATGTAATATTTGCATGTCAAGTCCTCATTAAATGACCCGAATATTTCAAAAGGAGTTATTAAATCATACTCTTTTCGAATTCATCTTTAACTGATAACAGTAGTGCAGCCGAGATATTTGATTATCAAAATTAGTTTTACGACCCGTAAAAGTTGTTATTGTTTTGATTTTTATGTCCTACCCTCCGCCGTTTCGCCAATCAGGAAGTGTCATGTAAGTCAGTGATCGAGTTGCCAGAACTCCGTGCGGCTCATTAATCTCAGTGGTAAAATAACATGTGGCGCAGAACTAAAAAAGGTCTTGTTATGACTCTCAAATCATTCATGACAAAACAAAGACTAAAACGAGGATTTATATCGGGATGCCTTTGAACAATTGAGACAGCTGATAAAAGTTCATGTGTGATGCAGAATTTTCTAGTTTGAGTGCGTTCTTTACAGCATCTCTTTTCGTGTGAATCGGTGGCCTAGTGGTCTAAGCTGTGTGCTTACGATGCAGGAACACGGGTTCGATCCCGGGCTATGTCTTTTTGTATTTATTGCATGTTATTACATTCTATGACAGATTGCTCTAAAAACGGTAAAAGATGAAGGTCAAGACGTTTTTTTTGCAGATTATAGCTTAATTGTAAAAATAATCATTTAAGACCACATGTACCCCAATTAAAATAATGTGAGTCTCTTTTTGATGTGGGACTTTTACATGTTTGTCTAAAAAATAGGGAATAAATAAAATTGAAAGGTGATATCCTCTTGAGCAAACCCTGATGTTGATACGCTGAAGAAATACGTTCCAACATCCATTCTTCCCACTCCTATTTTGGACATCAATTGCTTATTTATTTTGCATAAACTATGTATAATTACATTTCTTTTATTTTGTTTTTGTTTTTTATCTCAAATGTCCAAATAATAATAATAAAAAAACATTAATCAAAACATTCATTCAGCATTAGCACGGCTGTCATGGCAATGTGAATGGAGACGGACAAACAACTGATAAAATAATTCCCTGTGTTTGCTGCTGGATTTGGTGTGAATCTGGCAACCTGAGTCAGGGAGAGTGGGAGAGGACTACAAAATATTGACTGTGACTGCAGTACCACTTTTGGCCAGATTTTTACATATTGCTCCTTTAAAGAAAACAAAACGGACACACATCAAATTTCAACAAGAAAAAAATAAAAGTATACAAAAAAGTATATAAATATATGCATTTGAATGTCATTAATGTTGTGCTTATTTTTTGTTATTTATCTCTTGCGTTTCAATGCAGATTGCAATTTTAGGTGAAAGACAAAAATATTGCAATTATATCGTTATCAAAATACTAAACACTCATATAGAATATTTCTCTAATTTCCAATATCGTGCAGCCGTACTGGTGAGACTGGTTGAAGTCATGTTCCTGACCCAAACCCAAACTGCTCATAATTGTCTACCCTGTGAGATGTAAGATGGACGAGTAGCATAGGCAAAGAATCAATGATACAAGAAATACCAGACTGGGTTCTTGGTTGAAGGAAGTCTTTAATGCCTGGACCAACAAAGTTTGGACCACATCTCTGCCAATTTGCTCCCACTCCCAGTATCATTATTGTTAAGAGTTTATATAGCGTCCGTTTGCGTCTCCCTGAATAGAATAGCCTGCTCTTCCAGGTTTACTGATTAACCAATAGAAACAGTTCACTATCAGTAGAATTCTCTAGTCAGAAAAGTCGGCGTCTCCAGTGGTCAGAAGGTCCAGTTCTTTTTGTGTTCTTGGCCTGAGTTTGTACAAGTGTTGAAATGTTTCAGCGATCAACACAAAGTATGGCTCCCCACTCATCATGACCCCTCATCCGTGATCGGTAGTATGCGCTTTTACTCACCAGCGCATCTGTATTGTAAGCCCCGCCCCCTGCTCTGGAGCCACACACACACAGTTTATATTATAATTTCACTGTTTCCTTGTGCTTTATTGTTTGTAGAATATAGTTTTTACAATTCTCTGTCTGGTGTTTTCAGCTGCAGTGATCGGGACACGTCTGCACATCCCCGTGGCCCTCTCCTGCTTCTTTATGGCTTTTTACGTCATGTTTCTGAAATGATGAAGGCTCCAGACTGTCTTAAGCATGGACAGGAAAGGGTGCTGCTGGAACTGGACTTCAACCGCAGCACCCCGTTTCCACAAAGCAGGGTCTTTGGCACGCAATGAACAGTGAAGTGCTCCCCCTACTGGAGACCGGAGATACTACATCTGCAACAATGAGAGCAGGACAGCAGACATGAAGGCTGGTCACATCGGATCATCTCAATAAGAAAAGACATTCTCCCTGTTGAAAATTTGCTTAAATAAGTGCTTCATTTTGCACAGAAAGTGGAATGTTCTGCTTTTTAATGACTTGAAATAGACTTAAAGCAAGACTAACCCAGGCTAACTCCAAGAAAATAAGAAAGGCAGGGAATAGAGCAAAGTGAAATCGGGTCTAAACTGGGTCAAAATTCGATCTGTCTCACAAATAAACTGGGATTATGGACCAAGTCTAAACCAGGGCAAAATTTGAATATAAAACAGATCAAATGTTGGACTAGATGTTTGAGTGTATCGTGAGTTGTTTAAACAAGTCTTCTGTAAAAAAGTGCTTGTACCCAATTATGTCTGTTCAATATAGATGCTATTCCACACCACTATTACATAAAGTGCATATGATGGGATTTTTATTTTGGTGAAATGGAACCTGTTGTTAACATAAGTGATAGATATACACAAATATATCCACACCTTAAGAAAATTGGAATAATATGTTGAGGATTCCAGGAAGTGGAGCAGAGTGTTCTCAAAACCGATGGTGTCACGCCAGGAATAAACACAAGTTTGGCTTTATTAAAAAAATCATATATATAAATAGTACAGTTGCTTGGTAACATCTCTAGTGTGATGTCGTTAATCAGAACCAGGAAGTAAGATTATAATGATAAAGTGCTAAAGAAATTGTGAAACTTGGGAGAAACTTTGAAATCTGAAATGTAATGGTGCTAATTTATGTAAAGTCATATGCATTTTAAGGACTACCCAAATTATTAAAACCTTTATAACTATATATATTCGCGTTTTTTCATGGCGATACCAATACAAATATTTTTTTAGAATCCAAAACATCATGAATTAGTCTAACAAAGTCAATACAAAAATGCATATATTTTAAATGACTACAAACTTCTGCCTATGCTTTGCACTGCTATGTTAAAAATGAAGAATCTACGGCGTCCATGGGATATTCTAACAAAAAATCTAGATGGAAGTGTCTTGCATTCACGCTCAGTTACAGCTTTACTTCTGTTTGAGAGTAAAGAATGTATACAGAGAGAAAAACCGATGCATCAACTTTAAAGCTGGGGTATCTAACCTTCAAATCCCAAAAACAGGAATGGCTCGGTTCCATCTCTAGTTTTTCGATTTTTCTGACAGAAAAGGGGATTTAATAGAACCACCCTCACTCAGCCAATCAGCCCAAAGCATCAAATAGTGACTCACAGGGCTCTTTCTTATAAGTGGCATGTTGTGGTCTGATTTGTTCACAACATTTTACTTGTTTGTATTATTTAGAAATATTGTGTACCCCAGCTTTAATACACAAATGGTTTGGGTCAAAACGGCTGTGCTTTTGCTTTATAACAGTTCTACATCTTCTCTAGTTTAATTCCTGTCCAGTCGAAAGGAAAGAACATGAAAAAATCTATTTCAGAAGTTGAGGAATTCTGTCCATGTCTTGTCTCGTTGTTTTAAGGTGAAGGGAAGAAAATGTTGGTATTTGTCCCTGTATTGTGTTTTATTTTGCCTTGTTATTCCTGAAATTGTTAAAATCCGAAACACACTTTGCACAACTCTAAATACTGTCACTTCTCACTGCTGTGAGTTTGTACATGCACATCTGCTTTAGGCAAAATAAATCATTAACAATGATATGTGTAGTGGGAGATGATCTTATGCCAAATCTGTGGACACTCTTGTCAAATGCTGTTACTTTTCGTTTCCATGTCTTTACGGCAAGGTTTTCAAATGTTATGGGTCCAATGCAATTTAATTAAACCGTTTATCAAACTGGTGACGCCTTCTTTGCACGGAGAAACTGCTGTGTTACTTACGTGCTTTCCAACAACATTTCTTGTGGTCTGATTTGTTTTTACCGTCTTTTACAACATTCTGTCTTAATCTTGTTAGAAACCCTCTTTTGCACTTGTAACACTGGCTGAGTGGGGTTGCTCCTATTTTTATCAGGAAAATCTGATCTAAAGATTTGACAGAGGCTAACAAATAATGTTTTAGTTTTATATAGCACTTTTTTGGGCATTCAAAGACACGTGTCATTACTCATTCACTCGTCACAGTGGTGGAAAACTACTATTGCAGTCACAGCTGCCCTGGGGCACACTGACAGAAGATTAGCCACTCACCCACCAACACACCAGTCTCATTAGGCAATGTGGGTTCTGAGTCCTGCTTAAGGACAATTTGCCACTGACTTGCCACAGCCATGCCACATGCCAGTTCTAACCTGGCCCTGCTTAGCTTCACAGGTCTTTTACGGGCTCTGGCCTTCACATGCGATTGGCGTCACATACAAACACAAGCGTTTTTGAGCCGTTTTGAGTTGTTTACTCCAAATGCAAGCTTTGTTTTGAGGAATATAATTTCCAGCTACTAAGTGTCATGCACGTATTTTTGGCTTCGGTCACATCTTGAGATCAGCTTTTCCAGAAAAAGAGAGGATCACCCTCACTCAGCCCAAAGTGAGCTTTTTCAACACTTTCTGTTGAGACAAACACCATGTAACATTTGTGAAAAAGCAAAGGTAGCTTTAAGTTGTTGTGTAAAAGCTGCTAATACAATGTTGATATTCAATGATGCAGCATAGATATCTCAGTATATCAAGAATTGTTTTGAAAAAAAGGATAAAAGATGCAGAGGCCTGGGATCTTGTCACAGCAGAAGACAGAGATTTGCAGCGTTCACATGGTTTTATACCAGACAAAACAAGGACACTTCCCTCCACATCTGCTGTAGATACGTCTGCTTTGACCTTCTGATAGCCAAAACACCAAGTGGAAAAGTACTCATTTCTGCAGACTATTCTAATTCTACGTTCAGTATTAACAATTGCGGCCCTCTGTGTTATTTTATTTGGCACTCTGCCACTGACACAAAGTAGTCTTTGAGAAGCTCGGAATTCTGACCTGCTTATTTATTTCTAATTGTGTAACAAAATTACGTTTTTTAAAGCTAATGTTAACACTGAGAACAGCCTGAATGATGATTAAAAACATAACATCTTAAATCAGTGTTTTTGTTAAATGTATTTGCAGTCTGCTAACCTCCCACAAGATGGCACAATTTATCATTTTCTACGCGTGATCCTCTTGTGTCGTTTCAACCAGGTTGAATTCATTAGATTATTTATTTAAGATCTTATTTTTTCTTTCATTGTGAATCAAATGGAGTCTTTGTGTTGAACTTTGCTCTCCACATTGTCCCACTGAGTCATGTGTTTGGAGATCCCCTGTGTTTCCTGGGTTCATTTCCTTATGACGCATCTCCCCTCGTTTCTAAACAGATTGAATTCTTGCTTTAATATTAAATACAAACAATAATTGAAATTCACTACTATATCAGAAGTTCAACCACACTGTATGCTTTAAGATTTTTTTCATTCTAAAATGAAAACATTCATGAAGACATCCACTGATGTCGGCTGTCGTTGTGTCCTTGGGCAAGACACTTAACCCCACTATGGTCGTCACTGACAGACGCAGCCCTGCAGAAAGATTAGTGAGGGCAGTGCTCTGTGACTTGGGTGTGAAGCTCAACGTCTGCAATATAACCGTCCCAGAAATAGATTAAGGGGAAGAAAATGGACAGATGCATGGATGACATTTTTGTGAGGATTTTGAATCCTCACAGGAGTGAGGATGCAACATGGACTGCAACTTCACAGCTCCATTCCACACTCCCTCACGAATAAATATAAATGATAATTAAATCAATTCTTTGTAAACCTGCACTACAACACCAGAGGGGGGACTTTTATGATCTCAAAGACTAGTACGCAGAGGGTCACAGAGCATGACACAGAGGAAGGTGATTGGCCCGCGCGCCTGGTTTGGACGTGCCTGCGTTAGAGGCATATACTGTATGTTATAGGTCTTAGTTTTCGTAATTCAATTAAATTATAAATCTTCTAGAATCTAAAAGTTTCATTATGGAATCGAATAATCCTGGGAGTCCGAGTGTAGAAATGAAAAAAACAACACACGATCTCAATCTCGCAATATGTCGCGAGATCCCCATGCGCGCCCCCGTTGCTGCGCGTGCCCCTCCTTGTGTTTGTTTCTGTGCCAGAGTGAGCTCCACCATCAGCGGCGACAGAAGCTCAGGGCGAACCCTCCAGAGCGGACCCGTCTCTGCTCCCCCCGCTCCCCGCAGCCGTGCACCCAACTCTGCACTCCTCTCGGGCACTCGCGCATTTCCCTTTTTTTGTCTTTTTTCCCAATAACTTGACTCGCGGAGCAAGTTTTTCCGCTGCGCTGCTCAGGAATGTCGCAGCTGCAGCAGAGACCCGTGTTCCATCGACAAGAGCTCAATAAAACAGTGTGGGAAGTCCCGCAGAGGTACCAGAACCTGTCCCCCGTGGGTTCCGGCGCCTACGGATCCGTGTGGTGAGTAATCTGCGCCTGTCCCGATGCATGTGCACCCGTGTGGAGAGGCCCGTATGCAGGAGACTCTGTATTGTATGCATTTGTTTACTGCGTGTTCTGGACAAGTGTATTTCTCTGCTGCTGTTGCTCCACGTGATTGGATCTGCCCCCCACTCGCCGTACATAGTTAGTTATCCACAAGTTCTTTTCAAATAGCTACACAAATGATGCACTTTTACGCCCAAAAAATTGTCTTTGATTAATTACAACTGTATTAAAGCTGGTGCCTGACCATTTGATGCATTTGATCCCAACATAAAGAGTATTGTGAAATGTTGCACACAACATGCTATTTTGATCTTAATAGCATGTTGTGCATACTTGTAAAGAACGAGCCCTGAGTTAGTCAATGTTTGACGCTTTGGGCTGAGTGAAGGTGGTCCTCTTTCAATTTTCTGGCTGATAAAGCTGATCCAAAGATGCGAGAGGCCAAAGGTACATGCCTGAGCGTGTCCAGCAATACATAGATTCCTAGTTTTTGCCTATCTGTCATTCTTGTATTGATTTCTGCAAGAATACTAGATCTTTATGTACTTGTTTTGTAAAAGTTTAAGTGATTAGTTTGGATACCACTGGACAAGATGCCAGAATTTGTTCATCTTTAACTGGAAAATAGTAAATGCATTTTAGGGAATCCTTATTGCACCACATCAGAGGCAATATCTCAACTCTGTATTGACTCAATGTCTTGTAATCGCTAATGGGAGTCAAATTATTAAAGCAGATCTCTGGAAAGTTATGCAAAATTCCAACTAACTGCCCATTATCGAGGGCTAGTTCACACGTATGGTGACGTCTATTTCTAAACACAACTGCCCTGGATGAATGGGAAATGGGAAATCCTGTTGTACAACTTTATCTTAAGCCCTTTGGCATCATTGTATTATTGCCTCAATTGCCATCACTCATAGAAAAGACATCTCACACTTAATTCATCCTGATAATCGCCTGTTTTGTAAGTGATTTCTCGGCTTAAATTTGCAAAGCTTGAGTAGTTGCCCTGTGACATGCCCGCGCTTGCATCATTCTCCTCTTCTTGCTACTACGCATGTTTGAAGGCAGCTCCAGAGACAGACTGTGCTAGTGCTGCTTCTGCTGCTGCTGCTGCTGCTGAGGCCATTGTATCCTACATGCATTATCCATGTCGGCCACTCGTGCTGTCTGCAGAGTGCCAGAAGCTCACGTGGTTTTGCAGAAAGGAGGCCCCTCGTGGATGATGTCATTGCTGTGCGTGTGTGAGTCATGGTCCCGTGTCGGGCTTTACTCATCCTGCAGTCATCGTCAGGGGCCTGGGCTGATGCAGGACGAGGGGATGGAGGCGGAGTGTGTGAATAGTTTGAAACTCAAGTCAAATCTCTTTATGGGAAAACACTCATAGAAACTTTCCCCCTGATTGTGCGCTATAAATAAATCTGGACACGACTTTGCACATCAGGAGCACTTCATACGTGATTTATTCAGTCCATATGCATTTGAATTGTTTTATATATATTTTTTGCGCACAGTCAGCATAAATGAAGACAATGGTATGTGATACAAATATTAATAAAACAAATAGTTAAAACTTTTCTGCAAATACTTTGATTCATTACAAATTACACATTTCATAAACTATATATTGAAACATTTTGGAAATAACAGGAAAATTGCTCTCGGTCTCTCTCTCCCTCTCTCTCCTAGTCCCTCTTTTGCTCTCTCTCTTTGGTCTCTCCCTGATCTCTTAGGAATATAGGCAAGTCCCTGTGAATCATAATGATTTTGAATTAACTATCCCGGACAAATCTGTATTGTATTCAGTGTTGTTACTTGGAATTAAATAATGTATTAGTGGTTACTGTGACGACACTGCAACGATTTGATGTCTCTTGTGGTTGCAATTAGGAAATTGCAATTCGTGCAATGGGAGTATAATTGTAAAAGCATATCTTTTTCAGGAAATTTAGGAAGAATTTGGACTAACTGCATTATCCAGGGTTCGTTCACACTTATATTGACGTCAATAACACAACTGCTCTGGATGAATGGGAAATCCTATTGTACAACTGCATCTTGTGCTGTTTGCCAAGAGATGCTAAAATAAATATTTTCTCAAACTAATAAATAAAGTACTTACTCGATTTGAGAAAGCATTGATACTGAAATTAAATCCCACTAACAAAATGTGAGATTAAGTTTCTGCAGAACATAACTAGTTACTGTGGTACATTATACAGCACTATAATGTCAGACATATGTTCAGAATTACAGCTTGTTGAAGGAACCTTTAAATGATCACTGGTATCAGTTGTATTCAAGTATTTTTTTCGTATCAATTGAGTACTGTAATGTAAACGCTGAAAGGAAATCTAAAGCGCTTGTAATCCACTTGAACAGAGTTGCAAAAATGTAATCTCTCTACACAAAACGTTCCCATTAGATATTTCCAAACTAAAAGCAATTTTATGTTTATTTTTTTGTTTCATTTTATTGTGAAAGTTTTCAGTTCCATTGCAAACTATATATTATGAGTCACATCTGTTGTACATATATAAACATATACGCACGCCCATATATACACACACACATACACACACCTACGTATGAGAAAGCAACACACACAACAATTACAAAAGAAAAAAATGGATAGGATTAATGGTACATAGAATATTAAGAATAATAATAGTAATTATAGCTAAATTACTAGAAAAAAAGTTATTACAAGTAAATTTTCACTTAAAATAAAACTATGACAGGAACCGTACTGTTTTAGTTATTACTGTAAACAAATAAAGAGGAACACACGGCCCAGTGTTTTAAGAATTACAACTGGGGGCCTTGACTTTTTCAGCTGATTCAATCTAAAACGTATCAACGATTACAACAGCGTTAGAGGCAAAAAAACGCACCAAAGAGTTAGAGAAAGGAGCTACTGACTTACTTTTAAATGCTGTTCCACATTTTGCATAAAACAGGGACCCAATTCATTTCAAAGGACATCTTTTAAATGTTTTAATAAATCATATTGGACTTTTAATTGGCTTGTGGAAACTGCATTGTCGTTAGTTTGATCCTTACACAACAGTCATATCGACAAACGTGTCCCCAGCGTCTGCCTTTCTCATTACGTCCTGAACTTCCATAATTAACTGGATTAAAGCGGTGCTGATGTTTGCACACCTAATTGATCCAGGAGCCAGAAAAGCTGTTGTTTACCAGCAGAGATCTGAGTGCAATATGAATGCTCAAAATTATGCCTGCGAGTTGCATAGTAATCAAATCAAAAATGAGTTTCAGCCGCGGCGATTTGCAAATCTCAAGAGCAGCAATTATTCACCTGAACATTTCCCTCTTCGCAATCATCACGTTTTATTGTTTTATTGTGTCAAGAGCTGCTTTCCCTTTTGTTAATAGCTCAAGCTATTAGTTAAAAATGCAAGTAAACGTCAGGGATTGTGTACGTAATAACATTTGTCTCTGTAAAACATTGATGCATTTGGCTAAATCTCGACAATTGAAATATTTGTATTTTTTCAGGACAAACTACCCCCCAAAAACCACTGCAAAAACAAATATGCCAGTGGAAAGACTCCAAGTTAGGGTGGAGTAGAGTATGAACAATTAGGGTTGGTGGTAACGGGGCAGTAATTGCAATGTTGAATGTTAGAGAAAAATCTAGGAAAAAGGACATATTTATACAACTAATTTCATACATGAATGCAACTGAATGTGCAACAACTGAAAATGTGAAACTAATCCATCCATAAGCTCCGTCTGATACATTATATTATCATCTAAAGGCCTGCTAATGCAAGCTCCAGTCTCATTCATTCCAAAGCCTAAACTTCATTTATGTCTGAAATGATCCTTCAGGTCTAGAGCTCTTCATTGCAACATGAGGGGAATCTTGGGCGTATCACCGCAGTCCTCTTCAGAAATGATTTGGCAATAGCTTTTTAACACATGTGCCATCTGTGGGGAATGTTTCCACTCAAGCTGCAGCCCAGAACTTCCTCTTTGCTTAGAAACTGCTTCCGCCTCGTCCTACCCCCGAGGACACGCTTCTGTTTGGAAACTGTGAAGGAGAAACTCGGGCTGCCTCATTTGGGCAAAAGATTTTTTTTCCGATAAACAATGCATTTATTGGGAGAGGATTAGCACTATTTGTTTTATTTGAAAACACTTTTTGCAGTGTTTGTAAAGCACAAGTTCTTTTTGAGTCTTTCAAAAGTAACATTTTGTCTACATAATGTCTTCAACTTATTAGAAAACATATCTTTTGCAATGCATACTTGTAAGCTATTTAACGCTTTGGGCTGAAGGCTGATTGGCTGAGTGGTGGTTAGCTTATTCAGACAGAAAAGTGATGAAGAGAAGATATGACAGACCAAAAATACATGCATGTGAAAACCCCTAAAATAAACAGGTATTCCAGGTACCTTGGTAGAATGCATTCTACCAATCAACATCTAAGTACTTGCATGTTTTTATTAATGATGATAATAATAACTTAATTTTTTGACACTCAGCTGCTTCTCATGGCATTTCTTATTCATTCCATACACGGTGGTGATTAACTACTGTAGCCACAGCTTGACGGAAGCAAGGCAACCAGTATGTGTCATTGGGCCCTCCCACCACCAACAACCATTCATGCACATACTAGACTTATACTAGACAAAGTGTCTTGCCTAAGGACATAACAACAGGCTCTTGGGGGAGCATGGGGGTGGAAATATGCCCCACTGTGGCACCTGGTGTTCCCAGAGGTCTCCCATCACAGGTCTAAGCACTACCCTGCTTAGCTTCAGAAGTACAACGGGATCTGGCTTTCTCCTGCAGGTGGAGCCACTTCTGCAGTGATTGGACTGTGACCCCAGAGGAGCTGAAACACAACGCCGTGTGGGTTCACTGTCCCCTCTGCTGGAGACAAGTGCAGTGATGCAGCTTCCAAACAGAATCCATTTACATTTGTTCCTCCCAAAGCAGCGCATCTGCGACCCCGAGCGACTTTCTGCACATAAAAAAAAAAAAATCACCTTTGAGTTTCTGTTTTTAAAAGTATTCAAATATATTCATGTTTTAACTCTTTGATGTCTTCTCTCCCTCAGTTCTGCGTTCGATGTGAAGACAGGGCTGAAGGTGGCGGTGAAGAAGCTGTCCAGACCATTCCAGTCCATCATCCACGCCAAGAGGACCTACAGAGAGCTGCGGCTGCTCAAGCACATGAAGCATGAGAACGTAAGCTCACGTGCACACACACTCACATTTATCCAGTGTGAGATCAATAAAGTCTTATCTTATTTTATCTTCATACATTTCTGTTTGCTGTTTATGCTGCTGCTTCTGTTTGGAGGTTTTGAAAACTCGTGGGTTTAGTGCTCAGGGCTCAAACAAACATTCAGTTCAGACTTTAGACAATAGGATTACTGTTATTAATAATCCAAGCTGGAACTCAAAAAAGGATACGGAGAATTCTGAACAATTGAACATCTTTAAAAGCAAACAATGTAATGAGTGGTGGATGGAAATGGGGAATCTGTCGCTCACATGAGTTTATGTGCCCGGCCAATGAAGACGTTTGGGCTTTCGGGAATGTGCATTTAGGGCCGCGTGTGATTGGTCAAAGTAAAAACAATAATCTGCATCAAAGAAACGCATAATTTTCACATATTATTAACTCATATTTCACAACATCGCCGTTATTGCAATTATATTTTTTTATATACAGATATGGTGCAGCCCTCTCCAAAGTCGTGAGAGGAAAATCACAGTAATCGCTGTATAGTTTATAATCGGGGTCTATGGTTCTCGATTGTATGGTGACTTGTGTAGCACAGCCCTGGTTTGTGTTGCTGCTGCCAGAGGGCCTGGTCACTCTGGAAAAAGACATTTTAGAATAAATGAATAAATAGACCAAATGTCTCTGCCTTGCTAACCCACATTAGTCTGAGATCCCAAATCAGAATCAAAATGAGCTGTATTTTCATTGTAAGCAACAGGAAGTCACAAACTAGGAAGTTGCTTTGGCTCGAGGTGCAAACAAGTTATAAGAGTAAAAATAGTTAAAAGACATGCATAAAAGAATTTTCATAAAATTTCAGTGTCATTCAGTCAACTTCAGCTCTGAAAATATAGGCACTCTGCACCAGGTTTAATCCTGGTTTTGTCCTGGGTTAGCTCCTGTTTTGGCTGTTGTCGGGTTTTTTGTCTGATCGGCATGTGTTCCTGTGACAACTTTACGGCTCTCTGATTGGTTGCCGGCAGAAAACCTTTTTGTTATTTTTTGTTTTTTTTTACACTAAGGGCGATTACAAGCATTTATTGTTTCAAATAAATATTCAAATATATTCAAATATTAATAAAATAATTAAATTTGAATGTGGTTTTTGATCATATTCTAATTTCCCAGCCCTAAAATGGCGCTCATATGATATTATAGTAAACATTTGCCGCGAATCCAATCAAAACAGTTTTACTTTCTGGGTCACCGGCTCCTGCACAAGTGAGCTGAACTAAAGTGGCCCTCTTACTAAAAACAGTTTAGTTTGTTTTCCCTTTTGAGTGATTCATTGAGGTTTGAGTCGTTTATTTACACCAGAGTCGACTGTAACTGTTGTGACTGAACGCGGAAGTGCGAGGACTTTCTTTTCGTTTAAAAATGTGTATATAGATTCTGAGACACTGCGACGTATGAAGCGGAAGAAAATGGATGTATGGATTCTATTCTATTGATAGATATTACTAAACACCAAACAGAAGTATTTTATGACTTTTAATTGTTATAAATCAACATCGAGGTTGTGATTTTAGGACTACACAGAAATACGTTGAATTGAAAACATTTATATATAAATATTTAACTCCACAAAGTTGTCAAGAGCACAACACTTTAACCGTTGCTCCATGTGGCACTCGTTTTCATACATTCTCACAGACAGAGGAGGCTTGTTTTGCTCACGCTGTTGCTATGACACTGTTCACATGTTGATTTTTGGGGAAGGATGCGTCGACCAATCAGCCGCCTGCAGAGAGCGCGGACCGACCAGTGGTGCGCGAGCTCCTTTCCCGCGTGGGAAGCAGATCTCCTCCTAAACCTGTTTGCATTCGGCTCAGAGTGCAGTCCGCGGGGCATGAGGGGAGTGGGGATTTGGGGATTTCTGTATTATGATTTAAATCCCGAGCACAGGCTGGTGAATGAACATATTTGAGAGATTTCATGCTCTTATCGCATGATGTCACATTAGAACAGTAGTGTTTTTAGACCAAAATGTTACTCCTGGATGAGAGTCGACGTCTCGGAGAACGGCAAATGATGTACATTTTATCATCTTTTTTTTTGTAAAGATATATTTAAAACGCAGCATTAAAACATTCACAGTTTAAATTATATAGTAATTATGCCTTTTCCAATGAGAAATATATTATTCATTTTTACTCTATTTTTCTTTATTGAGCAGCAAGGAAAAAACAAAAGACAACGACACAATAACAAATGCACAAAGAGCTGAAAAGAGAAAAGGAGAAGGCAGAAGCAAAGAAGAGCTCGGGTATGAAGATATACTATACCAAATAAAATTATCACAATAAAGAAATTACTTTGTCGCTGACACAACAAGGAAACAGTCTTGAACACATTCTCCTTTTAAATGCAAAAAAGTGTAAATAACTAAATATTTTGGTTGAGGCTAGAAAAAGGCCTTTTTCCTGATATTTTTAATTATAATCTCTCTATTGTTGCTGTGACAATGTGCAGATCAATCATTTAAATGCATTTTTATTTTACAAAAAGTAACAAAGTGCTTCACAGTTGATAAAACATTAAAATCACACAAGGCATTGGAATCATTTTTTTCTAAATTATTCCATTGTCAAAATCAAAAGATGCATTATGGAATTTGATGCTGGATTTCTTTCAAATGCATCATATAAAATAAATGTTTTAATCTCTCTTTATTACGAGACCCACTGATAATTTTAAATCATGTTTTTAAATAGGTTTGAATTGTTATGTTCTGCACTTAACACTGACATTATGTAAATGAAGGGAAACGTTTAAAGTTCTCTGATTGGACCACGTCATGTAATGTCATAACTAAATACAGTGAGAAGCACCGCTCTGCAAAGACATTTATTTAGGTCACGACTCATGAGCATTTACAAATCAACAATCCAATTATTTTCCACCTTCAAAACACCATCTGCACATTTGAATAATGAATCTTATGCTGATGATCGTATTCAAGTCAATGTCCTGGAGAAGCTTTGGAACATTCATCTCAGAATCAGAATTATTTTCATTGCCAGTGTAAGAAACAGCAAGTCACGACATTTGCTTTTACGTATGGAGCAAACAAGTTTATTATTATTTTTTAATAGAAAAATTGATATAAAGAGCTACAATTGATCACTGTCTGTTACAGGCAAAAAAGTTAAATATTATTTCAGTAAAACCGAATAGTCATGTCATTGTCTTCCCCTTTATTATTCCATGGGTCGGGGGGTGGCAATCAGAGCTGCCCCCCAAGGTCTCATGGCACCAGTCCCTCGCTGATCCTCCTGCAGGTGGCGGGTCCACAGGATGATGGCTTCATCGTCATCGACGAGTTGCCTTCGTCTAAATAATTTTTCAGAAAAACCTAATAGTATTACATTTTTATTGTGTGAATTATTAGCATTTAATTGAAAAATATCAATATTTATCTAAATATGTATTTATTTTTAGCCCTAACTCCATGTCAATGATAAACTCGCCATAGTCCATAATAACATGACTCCCTCTGGTCCTGGGTGCACTGCACTGTGACTTTAGAAGACCGACTTTGAAAGTTGTACGTTTGTTTTGACCCTTCTGTTTTGAGACATTCCTGCCTTCAAAACGGTAAAAAGCCGACACGAGTTAAAACAATACGCCAGCACTTCCCAATTTCAACACGGGTCTTCAATATGAAAACCTCTTGATTAAAATTTTGGACCCAGAACTTATATACATGTACAAAGCTTTTCCAATCTGCTGCTTACAAAGATTTCTGATTTACTTCAGCCTTCTCAATCTTGTGTCCCCTTTAAAACATCGTGGAATAGACCGATGTTACATTTGTGGACTGTGATATTACCAACTTGCAACTTGCTTATGTGAGCCCATGACATTATGTCACGATCTACTTAAACACAACAACTATGTAAAGAAATACAACACATATCACATATGGATTTCAACTCAAAATACATATTTGCTTGAACAATATATTTTGTGTTCACTTTTTCAACTTTTACAACAAAGTACAACCCAAAATGTAGTCATATTATGGCCACAATTCTAAAGCGTGTGATTGTAATGACTTATATTAGTGTTGGGGGGGAAAAATCCAGGTTTTTTTTTGTGTTTAGCTCCATCTGCTGCTGCCGTTATCTGGTCCATATCAATGATTAAAAGGCTGTGGTTTCCAAAGCACAAACTGTGAGTGATTCAGGCGTCACTTCTACCGATATCAGCAACAAGTGACCCTGAAGAACAGCTGTAGTCTGAACCAAGTAACAAAGAAATGCATGCGTTCGCCGATTATAAGGACTTTTGCAACCACTGAAAGAGAAATATTATTAGAAACGGTCAAGTTAAAGCTTTTCAAACCAAATAACAGTGGTTTCTCATCAAAAAATAGACCTGGAGAGGTTTTGGCTCCATCCACATTCTCCGGTATATCATGCACCGGCACAGACATGTCCCCTCACCCCTTCTGCCCAAATGCTCTGTTTTCAAACTATGGCAAATCCAGAAAATATGAAGTCACCCACATAAATGTTTTTATAAGTTTTTAATCCTATTACATTGTTCCCTCATCAAAAACAGAACATGAGTTGTTTTTAGAGCATTCCACGCCAATATCAGGAACTTCCAACGTGTAACTCTGTCCAAAAGCTCAGTCTTCTAGAATAGGATGACATCACACTCAGCTCAGCCTTATTTTGGTTTTTATTGTTATTTGTGTAAATGTGATTTTATGAATATTATTTGTATGGATGCCAAGTCTATCTCTTTTTAACTGCAAAAGAAATCTACCCACAGGTACAAATAAAGTCACCTTGAACCTTTTCTGCTTTTAAAACAAAAGTATTGTTTTGCTCTTTTTGTTTGGATGGATGTGTGTTTTTGCTGCTACTGGACACCTGCATTTCTCCTACAGGGATCAATAAAGTAAAGTAAATCGTGTCATTATAATTTGTAATTGACACAAATAATGCACAACATTTCTTATTACAAACAAAAACGGTTCAGTGAGAATTCCGCTAGTCAAAGTGTCTTCAGTTGGACTGTTAAATTACAAAATCAATATGTAATTTTCTGTTTTCTGCCACTAAATTCAGAGTTAAACATTTCAGTTTTGCAGTTTTGAACAGGAAGTCAATGAACCTGTTTATTTTATCAATCTAGATCTAAATACTCTTACAGCTTTAAGATTTGGAAAATATAGAATTTCAAAGACCTAATGCTGACATTTTTTCTGCTGAATTTTCCACTGATGGATGTGTACTCTTGTCCTGAGCAGAATTAACATTAGATAATTATGTTTTTCCATTTTGAAATATGTGTTTTTATGTTTTTCTTCTTGTTCTTGCAGGTCATTGGCCTTTTAGACACTTTCTCTCCGTCGACGTCTTTGGAGGAGTTCAATGATGTGTAAGTCAAATTAAACCCAAAGGTAAACTTGGCCCCTGCTTGTGAAAGCGAGATCCTCTCAGATCTCTGAAGCTAAGCAGGGCAGGGGCTGTTAGTGCTGTGATGGGAGACCTCTGGGAACAGCAGGTGCTAAAGTGGGGCGGCTGTAAAGTTGCAAGACACTGTTAGTTTGGTGTGTGTGTGAATGATAAAGCAGCACAGCCCTTCAGCCCTAATTAAACAGAATATTGCAGTAATTTGTTGTATTGTTTATTCCTTCTTGTATTTTGCGTGACCCCATGTTCATGCTCTCTGCAGATACCTGGTGACTCACCTGATGGGGGCCGACCTCAACAACATCGTCAAGTGTCAGAAGTTGACAGACGATCACGTCCAGTTCCTCATCTACCAGATCCTCAGGGGCCTCAAGGTCTGTGTCTGTGCTTGCACCTGAGGGCAGCGCTGTCAGTCCAGGGGTTAAACTAGGGCTCAATGTATCGCAGAGGATGCAGTTTTAGTGTTTTATTTCAATAGGACATGTGCATGAGAATCTATTTGCTTTAATGTTTTATATATATACATGTATAACAGTGAAGCCTCGTTTTCACCATCGTGGCACCTTTGTGGCGTTTTGTCCTCTGTTTTATTCAAAATCACTGACCAAAATTGTCATGCGCGTCGTGGAAAATGCACGACTGAAGCGGTGGGAGGGTTTCGATGGCAGATCAGTTAAAAGCTAGCAGAACTTGGAATCCTTACAAGTACTTCAACAACGAGGACAGCTTTGTGACGTGTGTCTGGGTCCCGAGTTCCACCAGAGACATCAGATTACAGGGAGAGTACGACATCCAAAATTTGCACAATTTCCTTTGGGATCAATAAAGTATATATCTATCTATTCGGTCTCAAAGCTGCGTCAGAATGAGCACAGGTACTTCCATTTAGACGCAAGCGTGTAGTCACAGTAGAACATGAACTCGAGGTGAAAGCCATGTGTCCACAATCACTGCGTCCTCCATTGTCCTGGTTTAGTCCTGGTTTTAGTCCTGGTTTTAGTCCTGTTTTAGCTGTTGTTATAGCTCATTTTGGCTGTTTTCGAATTGAAAAGAAAAAAGGAGACGAGTTGATATTTTTACATTCCTCAGCTTTAATAACATGAATTCAACGTTTTCCTTTTTTTCCCCTTACTGTATTTCCCTTTTTACAACATTATTCCTCATCAAAAACAGAACTAATGAACACCAGTAATGCGTCATATTGTTTTTCTTCTAATGGGAGAAGTCAAAGCTTTGTCTCGTTGCCATGTTGTTTACAAACTCTAAGCGCGTATTGATTATTGTAATGTTTCTGTTTCGCAGTACATCCACTCAGCAGACATCATCCACAGAGTAAGTGCCCACAATACTTTTACACTTTTTATCACGTCGTATAATAATCACCAGATAGTCTTCAGGTTCGTTTTTAGATCCAGATTACTTTATTTAAGGGGACATATTTTGCAAAGTCAACTTTTCTTCAAGCTTTTAACCACGTCACAACATTGTTCCGTCATCAGACACAGAGTTCACAAACATGTAGCCCCGCCCCTTCTGTCTAAAAGCTCCTGCCTCAGTCCTGTGATAGTATGATGTCATTGTACCACTATGACATCACACTCAGAGCAGTTTTTTAAAACAAAACTATTGTCCATGAAGTAGTTTTGGTAATTCCTCAAGTGAAATGACGTTCTTTACGATCACATGTTTTGTTTGTAGCTGGTAATTTGAAAAATTGGGGGGGAAAACTCCTCTCTCTGTTGGTTGCATAGTGAGTTACAGACAAAAAAAACATAGGTAAATAATGTTCTATTAATTAACTGCAAAAATATAAATTCAAACAAAGTGTTGTATGTTTGAGAGCTTTTTTGTATCATATGATTCAGAAACATATCGTATCGAATAGAAAGTCAACTGTATCCAGATATGCGTCGCATCGGCAGGCTCTGAAAGATGCCCATTCCAAATTCCTGTGTCATTTGTTGGAAAAATGTTTTGTCGTCATCGCTGATAATTGGGAAGGTCCCTCTTGTCTCAGAGCAGCAGTCAAAACAAAATTTGTTTTTGGTTTTGTAAAAATAAGTTTTTCTTTATCTTTTTTAGGACCTGAAGCCCAGTAATTTAGCTGTGAATGAGGACTGTGAGCTGAAGGTAGGTTTAACTTGATAATCATATGTATTAAAGTGGCAAACAAAACAAATATGTGGGCTTACTCCTCACACCCTGCTGCTGTTTCCAAGGATAATTCTATTGGCTTTGATCTTGTTCCAGAATATGGTTTGATCTTTCACCTTCCAATCTGAAAAACGCTATGTGGGGGAAACTCTGCAGAGATCTTCAGAGGTGTCCAAACTAGATATTGTTGAAACCACATGAATAGTTACTTGTTAAACAAAAATAAACTTCTCAATAGAAAAATAAAAAATGAGGGGTTCCTGTTAATCATTCAGTTGTATTTCCAAGCCTCTACAGAAAAGTATGTCAAGATATATTCTGTACAAATAATGTTAACGGCTGAATTCCAGAGGTTCTGAGCTTTACAACACGGTATTGCATGCCTGGTCTCGCTCTCTGGTCTCGCTCTCTGGTTTTGGTCTCTCTCTGGCCTCTTTCACTGGTCTCTCTCTGGTCTCTTTCTCTGGCCTCTCTTTGGTCTGGTTTTCTCTGGCCTTTATTTCACTGGTCTCTCTCTGGTCGCTCTCTTTGGTAATTCTCTCTCTCTCTGTCTCTGTCACGGCCGTGGCTTGCCCTTTGCAAACTTTAGGGACCAAACTAAACGCACATACTCTAAATCGGCTTGATCACTGTTTTTGCTTCATTTCAACCCCTTCATCTTTCCTCCTCCTCAGATCTTGGACTTTGGCTTGGCGCGGCACACAGACGACGAGATGACTGGTTACGTGGCGACCCGCTGGTACCGCGCGCCGGAGATCATGCTGAACTGGATGCACTACAACATGACAGGTGCGCGTCCCGACCGCCAGCCTCCCGTGTCACCCGCACACAAGCGCACTGAGCCGCCGCTTCACCCATTGTGCTCTTTGCGATGACTCAGCCGTGCCTCGGCCCAGTAATAGCAATCATTTTGGGGAAAGTAGGGCAGCAATTTCACTTTGCATTGTCCTGGTCTGACGAGCGTTGATTTGAAGAGCTGTTTCTTTGCAATGCTGTGGTGTTTTGGTAAATAAATGTGCTGTTCTGTTTGAGGAAAAGTCAAAGTACAGCTGCTGTAAGAGCAAAGGTTTGGCTTCTATAACTACCTTTATCTTGACCTTTTAAAATGAGTTATAACATGCCATGGTCGCATATGTCTTGGATAGAAGTTGAGGCAAATGTATTTTTTTTAAAGTTATACTTTATTGTCCCCATAGAGAATATTTGTCCTCTGCTTTTGACCCATCTTGAACACCTTGAGGCCCTCTGTGATCACTGTCATACACTGGGGGACCCAGCTGGAGTATATTACTTATTGTACATGTTTTAGTCAGAAACAATTATTTCAATTTAATACATGAAAAGAAATTAAATACTTTAGTTAATAATCATTGTCATTAACAAACCACGGACTACATCATATATCAATACATGTATTATAATGTAGTAAATATATTTTTCCTTTGTATTTCCAATGGAAAATGGAGGTATTCTTCTTCTTGGGGTTTTTCGGCAGTTTGCGACCAATTTTTTGCGCATTACCGCCAAAAATGGACGTCAACGTACGTAAAAAAAAAAAGGATTGTGCTATTCTATTTTGTCCGTCCACGCAGGGTACAGCGGACGGGCGAAATAGAAACAATCCTATTTTTTACGTGCTCCCTACGCGCGTTATACAGACGCATGTCGCGGGCAGTGGAGCCACTTCCATTCACCCTCATGGAGGAAACGGAAAAAGATGAAACGGACACGTTTGGACGGATACGTAGTACATTTTATGCAGCCGTTGGAGTCGGGGCCTAAGAGTCATCCTAACCACTCAGCCACCGTGTATCCTGTAAGACGTCTCTGATGTCCATACTAGCCCATATCTGTCCTTGTATTTGGCACATTGTATGTTTGTGTCTTCTAACTGTCCTGTCCTCTGCTCCTCAGTGGATATCTGGTCTGTGGGCTGCATCATGGCCGAGCTGCTCACCGGACGGACACTGTTCCCAGGCACTGACCGTATCCTTTCACTCAAACACGTTGGCTTTTTCTGTTTTTTGTGAGTTTTTACACCGGGCTTTTATGTAACCATGATGTTTTGACACATTTCTCTCCATCATCGCTCACGGCCTGTTGGTGCAAAGTTAAAATGGGCAGCAATTCTCTAAAAAAAATTTGATACACTGATGCCATGCCGTTGTTATTCACCTACTTTTTTCACGTGTGTTGACAAGAGCAGGACTTGTGCTTAAGCGGTTTAAGCTGAGGATTGATTTGAGAATATATGTATGTGGATATAGTGACATAATTGCAGATACAAGCTTTTAGAGATAGGTTGAAGAGCTCGGAGTAGAGACGCCACTCCTCCAGATCTTGAAGCTTCAGTATTCTGTAGTCATTTAGCTATATCTAATTATAACGACTGTAATTGAGGCCAATGTTCTTGTTTTTTGACGAGGATGGATACATTTGCTTTCACCAGTTTGGAAGACGTACAAACCAGACTTCACAAGATATGATAAACTAGTCAAAAATCCTGAATTTGAGCCAGTTTATAATCATCTAGGAATGCAATAAACTGCTTGAATATCTGTTTTTCTCCATATAAAGTGAGGAATGTATTTGGAGGCTTCTCTGCTGTACTCTCTGGTGATGCCTTGATTGCAATTTTCCCAAACCTTTTTGAGCCTTTATCTCATTGAAAACAATCCCACCACCAGCTGAAACTGAGACAAACATGACACTCTGCTGCATTTAACGCTGCAAAGTCATTCTCATCAAAGTGTATTATATAGAAAATAAAACAAGCACAAAATGTCAATCTAAATCACATTATTTTGACCAAGTGAGTGATCGAGCCAAATCTCAGCTGAATAAACCAGGTCTGTGCCTTTTTATAGGAGTTCCCGAAGTGGCCTGAGATTTTTTTTATCATGTCCGAACTGGGGATAAAAGTGAGTCTATACTACTCTATACTACTGATTTGATTGATTTCAGTTTGATTTGTTGATGCCAAAACAGAACAGATTTATTTATAAAAGTTGTCATCTGGACCAAGCTGGCACAGTTTGACTCCCATCTAAGAGTCATCAGACAAGAGTGGGTCTGAAAACTGGACCACCAAAGCTGTTGAGAAACATGGGGTTGTTGGGCCGAGATCTTCCACTTATACAGATTCACACAATTCTGTTCCATTCGTTGTGAATTTCTGCCTTCCCGTCATCTCCGCTGCTCTGAAATTGTCCCCATGACACTAAATGGACTGTTGTTTTTCAGTTTTTAAGCTCAGACTTCTGCCTTGCACGTGCAGTTCTCAGTCATGCTATTGTTTAAAAAAAAATCACATTGACCGTTTTATTGCACAACTGGACCGGCTCTGAAAGTGGTGTGTGAGTGTGCAGTAGTAAACGCAGTTGTAAACGGGTGAATCAGCGTGAGTCATCTGCCCACTACAAGACACTAAGACGATTCTGCAAAACAGGCACAAAACCAGTTCATAGATCTGAGAGAGGCTTTTGAACCCGGAAATGAGCTTAATGTTGGACTAATGCAGTTTCAATTTGTGGTTTTATTGATGTAATAGTTTGAGGTTAGTTGCTTTGTCCTTTCAATGTCTTCATTTAAGACAATACTGAATGTCCTTTTGAGGCTTCAGTATTGCAGTCTCACTGTATGAATCTTGTCTTATGAAACTCAAGTTGCATAATGTGTTTTGGTTCCGAAAAATGGTCTTCTTTGTTGAGTCCGTGGGCGTTTGTGGTCCTCCCACCACTTTTCTAACACGGTGCAAAGTGGACGATTGGAGCTGATGTGTGAATGAAGCTGCTCGCAAGTCAATGTGGCGTGGCGAGCTTATTTGTATAGCACAGTTCATACACAAGGCAAGACAATAAACCTTCAGTTGTATGCACAGCTAAAGAACTGTGTCAGAGTAGAGGCCTGTCTCCACATTTTCGGGACTATTTTAGCTGCTTAAATCTGATTGCCTGCCCATGTTTCCCCCTCTTCCGTCCTGACTTTGGGCACCAGCAGGAGGCCAGTCCCTGTGCTCCTCAGAGTCCGAGTTAGTTCATATGGCACTAACATGTCACGGATGTACTTTAAAGCCTATCCTCTGAGCCACAGGGAGCTAGGCATTGTGTCATTTTATAATCGCACAGTGCCTTGCTGTGCCATTACAAAGCTGTTTTTGATTACATCGGTAGTTACTTATTCATACAGCACAACAGCAGTCGCTTAGAAGGATTTGAAATACAACTTAAAAATCAAAGTAATGTTGTACCTTGTTATATTTCAAGTTGAGTTTCTGCAGTTTTGGAAGAAAGCTCTGGGTATTGCATGAACTTGCTTCAATAAAATGACATTTTGTTTAAATGGGAGAAATGTAGACTGTAATATTGCCACGTTGCTTACATGTGGGACAGGTTAAGCTACAAAAGCCTAATCTTAAATTATGTTTTAAAAGGTTCATATTGCTCTTTGCCAGGGGAGTAGTAGGAGAGCCACTTTAGTTCACCGGACTTGTCCAGGTCCATCATGCACTGTAAGATAAGATGGACTTTATTGATCTCACACAGGAGAAATGTACACGTCACATTTGGCATAGATAGAATCCCTCAGATTTGTGAAAATGACAGAAGTGTGCAAACATGCAAAAAATGTAGTCTGTTCAGTATATATTATGTACAATACAAATGTGGCAATTAAAGAAACTGTATATAGTAGTGCAGGACTTATTGTACTGTGAAAGTGACTTACGCCATTTGACTGGGTATCATATACAAGATACAAGAATTTATTTGCCACTTGCTGTAAAACCACATTGGGAAAACTGTGCAAGACTACCCCAGTGTGCACCAGATAGTACGCTACAGAGCTCTTGCCACAGCGCCATTTTTCTATATTAATTCACACCACCTCCTGCTTGGTTGCAATCCTGCTGCACACCGGCCCTTCCTGGAACCAGTTTGACACCCCCTGGTTTAGACCCTTTTTATTTTCACACAATCCTGTCTTCCTTGGGGTGAAACGCCAACAAGGGTCGAAACAACCCGCCAACCTTTCCCACCGTCGTCCAGGGTCAACACTGGCTTCAGACACGGCGGGTCTGCAGTGGGAGAAGCCTTGGTGTGGCTTTCAGATCTAAGATAAGAGAACCTTTACAGTATCAAAATGACTTCTTCTTTGATTGCCGGCCTCGTCTTCGCTCTCGCTTGAAAGTGCCACGTTCTGCTCCTTGACTCGAGCCGCAGACATAAACCAGCTTCAGCAGATCATGCGATTGACCGGAACGCCGCCGGCTTCGCTCATCAGCCGCATGCCGAGCCACGAGGTGAGAGCTGGCCCCGAAACCTGCTCAAAGTTGCACCGCATCTACACATGCACTTAATAATCCAGTTGAACCGTAACAATGGGGCGAGAGAGAATCTTATTGCATCTTGATTTCCGTCTTTAAAGCTGGGGTACCTAACTTTGAACCACAAAACATTAACGCTCACAACTTCTTCGCTCTTAAAACGCTATCACTAGATTTTGACATGCATGTATTTGTCACATATTTGAATCAGTTTTTTCAGACTAAAGAGGAAAAGAGAGGACCACGCTCACTCAGCCAATCAGCTCTCAGCCCAAAGTGTCAAATGGTGACTCACAGGGCTCTTTGATATATGTATTAAAAATAAATTGTGGTCTGTTTTGTTACTAACATTTTACTTTTGTTCCAAGGCTCTGTCCAAACAACCACAATTTATAGTTATGTAGGTGCACCAATCATGTATGCCAGGGAGTTCTCATTCTCATCTTTATAATGAGGGATAACGTGTAAAAAAAATAATAATAATAAAAGGGTTAGTGGCTGAGTGGTTGCAATAACTTTCAAATACTACTTTTTTTATTTCAAGCTAATAGTGTTCTGAGGGGGAAAAAACAAAAAGGAAGACCTAAAATAACCTGCACACTGATGCTCAAAAGGGAGTGGGGAGAAGTATAACTTATTGGACCCGATCTCTGAGGAAAAAGTAAATAATAGCTGCTTTCAATTATCAAACATTTTATACAAGTAATGCATCATTCGGAAATCATGTGAAAGATGAACATGTGGAAATCCATACAGCAAGTAATAATGAAAATAAAAGTAGAGGGGGAAAAACACATCTATACAAACATGTACACACACTTTCTATACCACAGTATTAGTATTACTATCCCAAACTCCACTGATAAAAATGAAATAATTCAACTCTATTTTAATTATAAATGTATTCTGCTAAATATGTATTCTATCCACACCCAACACCTGTATATTTATAATCGTGTATATTTTTTATCTCTTATATTCTTAGATAAATAACCTTACACTTTACCAAACCTGTGCTGTTTTTCTGTTTATACTGATTCGTGTTTGTGGTATTGCAGGCGAGGAACTACATAAACTCGCTCGCCCACATGCCCAAGAGGAACTTTGCCGATGTTTTCATTGGAGCCAATCCTCTGGGTAAGTCCTGTCTGCAGAGCGCCATCTGGTGGAGGATCAGGGAACTGTGTGTGACATGATTACAGTCAAACTAAATGTATATTGTTTATATTCAGACAGGAAGGGAGTGACTGTGTGGTGTTATAATATTTCACTTTTATGACCTTTTGAAGCTTTTTAACGGTTGATATTTTTTTTCTATCTGAACCCCAAAACTCATAATAAAATGTGACCTGAAATATGCTAACATTTTAGAAGTGATTTTGCTATACCCTTCTGTAGGCCAGAACATGTAGGCCAATGTGGAGTTTATTATTATCATATCTAGGTGTGTCTTGGTCCTACTTATAATTAGAATAAAGGAGTCATTAGAGGCCAAAACCAGGGTCTCATCTTCACAAAGGGACCAGCCATTTGATTTTGGTCCTAGAAAAGATGCAATTCTTGAATTTTTTTCAGCCATTTTACAGAAAATGGCTCGAGGTTAACCCGGGACTCGGATCAGAGAAGTAATTACTACGCTAGTTTATCGTTCAGTTATGGACAAATTTAACCTCATAATTTTATAATCAATATTAGATTATTACTATTTAAAATGTCCATACACAAGTGTGGCTATTTTTATCTCACATTTCAATTCAGTTTATTTTTGTATGGCTCTAAATCACTAAATCTAAATCACGATCTAATCCTTAAATGTTCTTAATGGTCCTGGATCATCACTGTCCTTAGACTCTCCTGCATCGGCAAGGAATGACTAAAAAAGAGAAAACTCCTCCTCTAGCTCCTGGTGCTAGGCTCAAGGTTCACTGTGACCTTACATTGGTATGGTCTCCTTCTCTGGTCTCTCTCTCTCTCTCTCTGGTCTCTCTCTCTGGTCTCCTTCTCTGGTCTCTCTCTCTCTCTCTCTGGTCTCTCTCTCTGGTCTCTCTCTCTGGTCTCTCTCTCTGGTCTCTCTCTCTGGTCTCTCTCTCTGGTCTCCCTCTCTGGTCTCCCTCTCTGGTCTCCCTCTCTGGTCTCCCTCTCTGGTCTCCCTCTCTGGTCTCCCTCTCTGGTCTCCCTCTCTGGTCTCCCTCTCTGGTCTCCCTCTCTGGTCTCCCTCTCTGGTCTCCCTCTCTGGTCTCCCTCTCTGGTCTCCCTCTCTGGTCTACCTCTCTGGTCTACCTCTCTGGTCTACCTCTCTGGTCTACCTCTCTGGTCTACCTCTCTGGTCTACCTCTCTGGTCTACCTCTCTGGTCTACCTCTCTGGTCTACCTCTCTGGTCTCCCTCTCTGGTCTCCCTCTCTGGTCTCCCTCTCTCGTCTCCCTCTCTGGTCTCCCTCTCTGGTCTCCCTCTCTGGTCTCCCTCTCTGGTCTCCCTCTCTGGTCTCCCTCTCTGGTCTCCCTCTCTGGTCTCCCTCTCTGGTCTCCCTCTCTGGTCTCCCTCTCTGGTCTCCCTCTCTGGTCTCCCTCTCTGGTCTCCCTCTCTGGTCTCCCTCTCTGGTCTCCCTCTCTGGTCTCCCTCTCTGGTCTCCCTCTCTGTACTAAGGCGACTTTGAGTGCCCAGAAAGGTGCCATATAATTACAATGCATTTGCTTTGTCTGTCTGAGTTTTGGTTGTAGGCGCTAACCCTGCTCTCCTCCTCAGCCGTGGACCTGCTAGAGAAGATGCTGGTGCTGGACACAGACAAACGCATCACTGCTCCTGAAGCGTTGGCTCATCCATACTTCGCCCAGTACCACGACCCGGACGACGAGCCCGAAGCCGAGCCGTACGACCAGAGCTTCGAGAGCCGCGAGTTGGAGATTGACGAGTGGAAGAGTAAGAGAAAAAAAAAAGATTCTACTCTCAATAATTTATGCCTTTATCAAGATGACCACAAAACCAGCTGTGAGGAAAACCATTCAAAAACCTCTGTCTGTCATAGTGCTGTGTCCAAACCACACTTTCCCAAGTTGGTCTATAGTGTGTAAGTGTAGGTGAGGAGACAATGCCGCTGTTGTATCGACTTGTGAATCAGATGAGCAGGCAAAAAAGTCAAAAGTCCATCCATCCATCCATCCATTTCTTCCCCTTAATCCATTTCTGGGTCGGGGAGGTGGCAGTCAGAGCTGCCCCCAGTACACATAGCACCAGCCCCTCACTGATCCTCCTGCAGGTGGTGAGTCCACAGGAGTTGAGATCTTTCAGTGGGGGCGTCAGGCAAAGTGGGGTTAAGTGTCTTGCCCAAGGACACAACGGCAGCAGTCATCAGTGGGAGTCAAAAAGTCAAAAGTAATATGTAAATAGTAGATACTGCAATCATGTGCGATGTGCAATACTGCAACTTCAGAATGGCCACTGAATGTCACTTTATTTACTTTAATTACCCTTCCATACATATAGATTTATATATAATTCACACTTTATACATTTACATTAAAAGTTCAGGAAATTTGAAAAATCCCCAAAAAATAGTTTGTTTTCTTACATTGTGTTGCTTGTCTAAGATCAAATGTTCCATATTTTTTGCAAACTCGTCTGTCTTGCACAACACCAGTGTAAAAGGCCGTACTAAACCAAGTTCTGATATATTTTCTTTTCCAGGACTAACATACGAAGAGGTCATGAGCTTCGAGCCTCCGCAGTTCGATTCAGACGAGATGGAGTCCTGACTTTCCTCTTTCGCCAAACACGTGGTTAGGATTTTCAAAACGCCCCATTCACACTGCAGCCAGAGCCGCGAATCCACCACCATTTTACCGAAACGCTTCATCCTCCGTGGGAACGAAAACAGAACGGGTTTGCCTGCATTTGGAATTTCAATTTCTCCAAGACCAAATTCGGGTCAGACTACAGGGAAAACGCAGGAAAGACTTTGATGTGGAAAACGAGTTCAGGTCTGACTACGTTTTGCGTTTTTTATATCCTGCACTTTCCTGCCTGAAATATATGTCTATTCTGTATGGAACAAGATCTTTTTTTTACTTACAAGAAACTATGTCTTTTTAGAAGGAATATCTCGGTCCAATCATGGCGTCTATCTATGTCTGCGTGTTTTGAGTGGCAGAGCTTTGAGTACCGGTCCGATACCTTTTGGACTGGCTCCTCTCGATGTGGAGAAGCAGCGGCTCTACTCCAAGCTCCTCCAGTGTGAGCTCCTATTTCTAAAGAAGCCAATCTGTGGAGAAAACTCATTTGGACCTCTTGTATCGTCCTCTCGGTCATTACCCAAAACTCATGACTATGGTCTGGTGTCCCTGGACTCACAATTATAGTAGCATAAGATCAGCCTGAAATTGCCTTAATAAAATAAAGTTAGAAAATCGGTGTCGCCAAATGCATATATTAAAATTAGGGCCGGGATTAATAAATTGCACAAATTGACACATTTTAATCATCCGGCAGCCTCTGGGTGTTTTCCGTAGAATCTCCGCAGGAATAGCGTGTTTGTTCCCGGGAGGCAACTCCGCTCTCCGCAGCATCAGCAGGTGGTCCCGGGTGTAAACAATGGGAGCGCGTGGGCACATCTCCGTTCACTGGTATAATCCACGTTTATGATGAGGACAACGGTGGAAAAATACGGCGTGTCTCACTTCCTAAGTGGGCACTAGCTTCACCCATCTGTATTATAACCGCAGTTACAGAAGAAATGAAAATAAGTACGCTAAAAAGTAAGAAAAGTGGGAAGGAGAAGGGGGAGTGATGCATCTCTGCAGCTGGCTCCTGCCCGTGCATGCATAATATGTATTACTTCTCACTGTTCTCAGGTCAAATATTTATATGCAATTAATTAATTACAAAGCCTCTAATTAATTAGATTAATTTTTTTAATCGAGTCCCAGCCCTAATTAGAATGCATCTCTACTTGTTAAACTTGTGACTCCAAGACACCAACCGAATAGCACTTAAAGCTGCACTAACTGACTTTATTTTTGTGTTAATTACTAAAATGCTATCCATGTCCGTGTAGGGCATTGGGATATACGTCCTTTTGAAGAAAAAGTAGTGCAGATTTGTGCTGGCGTGACATTATATTTTAGATCGAGTTTTGATGAAACAAGGAAGAGAATGTGTTTCGGGTCGCAGATTGTGACCAATCACGGCGGACCACTAGCCCCCACTTTCGTGAGAAATCTACAGGTCCGTTAGCACAGACAGCTGAGTTAGCACAACAAGCCGAGGAGCTAACCTGAAACTTCCTCGTCTTCGTCACCGGTTACTGCTTACACAGCGAGACAGCCATCCAAAAGAAAGTCCCGTTCCTCCGCGCTTCCCGGTTCTATCGTTCTATGGTCACGCCATCCACGTGCAAATCCATATCCATGTATTATCCATATTGAGAGACACTAGCTCCGTCCCAACAGTGGGTGTGTGTGGGGGGCGATAGCTTCGTGGGTGCGGGGAGGGGAGCAGAAAGGGAGAGGCCAGCGAGTCCGCGGCTTCAAAATCCCAAAGTCAGTTAGTGCAGCTTTAAATTGAGTAAAAATATCTTGTTCCATCAATTTACAAATCATGTCATGTTAAAATCACACAGCAAAAAATAATCCAAGGATTGCTCGATTTGGGGCCAGTTTTTTGATACGACACTAGCTACACATGGTCCATGGGTATCCACGTCTCAATAGTCAAATGTTTTCAAACCATGACACTAGCGACTTCAAGTCTTCATGATCTCGTTTTCTCATATTCTTTGCAGCGAAGAGCAAACATTTTCACGTTTTCCTTTCGTTTTTTGGGGGGAGCCGTTTGCGAAAGGCCCCCGACAGCAGCGTCTTCTTCAGTCACCCCTCATCAAAAGTGCCTGCTGCCACCTCCATGAGTTCATCAGGGAATCAGTCCTACCCTCCGCTAATGCAATCCACTACGCTGTTTTTCACAATGTTTAAAAAGGTCCTGTTTGTTTCTTCTAGGGGACAATGCTGATGTTAAATCCTAGTTTTAGAATGTTGGAAAAACGCATCACAACGGGACCTTTTTGATCATGTTTTTGCCTTTACAAACGTCTGTAAATCTATCATGACATTTCAGTATCAGGTCAAATTATGGTGCATCTTTTCCATACTGTGTTGATTTTTAGTTGTTGAGTTTGATCAGTAGAAAGAGTTCTTCTGTATGGGCGACTCTTGGTAATCCGCTTCTAACTATTTCCACAATATTTGACCATAATTGAGTTGCACCAAAACCATGTAAATATTTGTGATCAGTATTTGTACCATAAAGACAGAATATATTGTATTTTAACACTATACTGGCCACTTTATTAGAGACAGGTCCTGGTTTAGTCCTGGTTTTTAGTCCTGGTTTAGTGCGGGTTTAGTCCTGGTTTAGTCCTGGTCTAGATCTAGTTAAATGTTGTCATGAATTAATCAAACAAACCTCTCGTGTCCTTTTCATTGTCCTTTTAAGAGAAGGGAAACTAACCCAAGTTTGTTCATATGAAATGTGCAGAGACCATAGCACAGGACTGATGTGAGAGGACTTGTACTTCTGGTCAGAACTTTTAATGTAAGAATATGATGGGCTGCAATGTGACATCACTTTCATTCTCACAGAAAAAAACACTGTCAGTACTTAGCATAATGACAGCGTTACTAGCCGTGGAGCCGTGTGTGAGTGAAGCTCTTATCAGAGTTTGGGCTGTTACACTTGCTGCGCTTTATTTTAAAAAGTTGTCCTTGCAACAAAAAAAATGTTTTCCTATCGCTCCACGTGTCTGAGAAACTTGTCATAGTTCATTATAAATGCAATTTCCTCTGGTCTCTCTCTTCTCCTGGCTGCACTGTGCAGTAATTTATTTTGAAAGTCTGAAGTATTGACCCTTTTATTTTGTCAGCTTGTATAGCAGGGGTTTTCAACCTGTAGCTTGCCACCCCTCCCAGGTAGCTCATCAAAGGATTTAGAAATGAGCAAATCAAGAAATACACTTAATATTTCAGATTACCAATATTTATTATTGAAAATGCACTGACTTTGTGCATTAGTAACAAATATGCAATGATAAATGAGGACTGTACCCAATATCAGGCTTGTTCACACTAATATATCACCATGTTTCCCCAGAGCTGTTTTAAGGAGTCTTCCTTCATTTTCCCAGAAAAGTAGCTGAGACATCTGTTGTATAGTCTCCCATCCCCGATCTAACCATGCCATACTCTGCTTAGTCACCGACGTGAGGCATGAAAAAGCCGATATTTACTATTAAAACATCTGAACTTGGATTAGTTACAGATCTAACAAAACCAGGACTCAACCAGGAGAAAACACCAGAATAATTCTCACTTATCTCCCACTTTTTAAATTTCAACCTCCGCAAATTTGTCTCAGGATTCCACATTTTTGATAATTTCAACCGATGTACTTAATAAAATGGCCAGTAAGTTGCAGCACGTCACACTTCAGGTTAGAAAAGACAATGACATGTTATCAAAAACGGCTTCTATGTTTAAAAAAAGTTATGTGGCCCGTTGATAAAGTTTTCAGGTAAAAAGCAATAGGCTGGAATATTGTGGGAAAGGTGGTTAATCAGGGATTCTCAACATGTTTTAGGACTGCATAAGAGCTGGAGTCACTGCAGAATGGAAATGTGAATTGTGACAATCGTAACCCTTTTGTCACTCGTTGCTATGACGATACTGTTATAGCATCACTTTATCTTTGTTCTGTTAATTACTTTCTAAAATATGTTGTGACCTAGCGACCAGATGTCCTTCTCTAAATCCAAACGTGAAACATGAATTCTACTGGTTAATATGAGGTTTTTTTAGTTTTTTTTTTAAAGTAAGTATTCTTAATTAATTTAGCGCATTAAATCCGGCATATGTTACTTCAAAACCACAGCCATGGAACTATGTAATAAAAGACAAGACCTTCTGATGGGACAAACTGTAGCAAAAATGATTTCAGCAAAAAAATATTCAAAGAAAGGTTACGTGCCCCAGCTTTAATTCACCTGTACCCAAACTTTTGCCACATTTCCCACAATGCTCTAATGTATGACCTTCCCCTTGTACATTCTAATGACTCCTTTTAAGATGTGTATATTTTAAAACACTGCCTTTTGTCAGCACTTGTCTAAATCTAGAATGTCTCCTTCTAAACTACTTCCTGTCTTCGTTTGAACCTGTTTGAATGTTTTTGGGGGAGGGGCACCGGTTCTGCGTCTCGCCTTATGTTTAAGAACTTTTTATCACAATGTCATTTGTATATTAATGTTTGAAGGTAATAGTTTTATGTTTTTCTCTTTTGTTTTATTATTATTATTATTATTTATAAAATATAACGCGGAATCTCTCCGCTTTTGTCACAGTGACTGCGTTTTTCTCATGTTTTTAACCCACGAGACTAGAATGCATATTTATAATCAGTATTTTTGAGTTGATTATTGTTTTACATTTATTTAACCTATTTCTTAACTGGTATTGACCCAGAACTTTCCTCTTTTATTAATATTATTTGTGTGATTTTTTTTTTCTTTTTTTTTTTAATGTATTTTACAATCCACACCATGACCTCATTCAATGTTTGTTCCCAAGTACTTAGCATTTATTTTATATGACAGATTTTAATGATTTTTTTTTTTCGAATTTTGACTTTATTGTGGGGAGAATGTCACGTTCATAATATCATGAATCATAATATTTCGATCTAATCAAGTGGCAGTTTGTGTAAAAAACTTGAAAATTACAGGAAGTAAATCACAGACGACATCACACTATGGAGATGAACTGATCTACACGTTGGCACAACTATTTTTTTTTTTTTTACTTTACTAGAATTGTGTAGATCGCAATATATATAATAATAATTTAGGCAAAAACTCGGACTCTAAGCATAATAGTTTCAGCCTTTTGTGAAAGAGTAGGCAAAAGTAATGGTAGAATATTTTAATAGTAAAAAGTACGCCTTGTGTCCCACAGTGGGGAAATTCCAGAGTTGCTGTGCACATTACAGAGCTTCAGGAATACAGGCTGTACTCTCATAGATGCAGATGGCAGTGGCTGAGTGGTTGGTGCTGTCGCCTCACAGCAACATGGTCCATGATTCACTCAGGACAGCACAGGGACTTTCTGAATGTTTGTGCCTGTGTCTGCCATATATGTGACTAAACAATATGAAAATACTTTTTAACTTTAGTATTTTTAAAATGTGTGAATCTGGAGCAATATTTTTTGAAGGCAAGCCTGTAAGACCCACCCCTACAGCTTCCTGATTGGGAGCTATGAATTTAAATCAGGTGATAGGCTGAGGCCTGTTCCTCCAGCAAATCTTACTGATTTTGCTTATTCCAAGAGAAGAGACCGTTTAAATGTATTTATTATTAAAACTACTTAATTTAGATGATACTACAGGGTTAAATAGCCAACAATGTGTATTCCTATGTATACACTTTGAATTTGCAGATATCACCTTTTAAAAAGTAAGGTGAGGAAATGGATTTGTGATGCAACCCTAGTGTGATGTCATATTTATGATCAGGACAAAAAATCTTGGGGAAAAAATGCAAAACTGGAGTCAGATTTGTTGTAAAATCTGAAATAATTTAATTACTAATAATTACCTTAATTGTAATTCAATAATTGTTCAATCAAACATTTGAAAAGCACAACTATTACACAAGGTAATTCAAAAGGACTGTTCAAAACGCAATGCAAATACATGCATCAATATACACAAATATTTAATAAAATAACGTAAAACTACAGAGAATATAAACTTATGCACAGGTTTAACAATTATACAAAATGTAATCACATGCACAGCTCAACAATTGCATTTTTAACATAGTTTTACACATGGTCAGCGATTGGCCGACATATGCACTTTGACCTCAGAATATTATCATTTCTCTATGATCAAATAAATCCTATAGAGATAGCTCATACAAAACACATATTTAAACGAGCGCTAAAAGAAAGTGGGAGATTTCAGTTTAAAGTTGAGTGAAATTCTTAATGATCAGAATTAGGGCTTTAACAATACTTCATACTAATTGATCGTTGAAATCCTCCTCTGAATCGTGTACAGATTCAAAGTGAATGTCAGTTACTTTTGGAATTGTGAAGAGACTAGTGCCGTCCATGCTCTTCCCCGCAGCCTCCTGATTGGCCACAATTAGTTCAAATCCTTGAGGACCCTCATATTTGGTTTAACTGTTCTCCCACAGCACATCTCACTGGTGATAGCTATGCATAGGGGCGGAGACCATTTTAAATATATGTCCCGTGTTCAGAATTATGCATTATCTAAAAAAAAAAAAAACAGAGGAACTGTAATCACTGCAGAATTAAGTAGAAATATGTTAAAGAGGTTCTTGAGTGGCATCATTTTGGTGAACTTAAAAAATCCTGACCTTTTGTCATCCAAACTATCGATTATACAAAAGGATTGTGAATAACAGCTATAATTATAAGTCTGCTCATTCTTTACAAAAACTTTATTATATAAGGAACTTCTCAATCTCTCAACTCAATCTCTTCACATTTATATCTGCATTAATATATTCCCTTCATCAAACATATCTATTTATTGTGTGTAATCATCAAAAAATGTGATTTCTATGTTTGTGTTGGAATCTTTGGTTTGGGCACATGGAGCTGGGGCTGCGTATCACTGGATGCTGAAAACGTATAGTGTTCATTCATGTCATGTTTAAATCTTGGTTATTACTGTTCAGAATGTTATTTTCACATGTACGGCGAGAGCAGGCTACCTGTAAATATCACAATGATGAAATAAAGCCTATACTATTTTTCAAAACGATTTCTTTGTATTTTTATGGAGTGACTACAGTGAAAACATGAGGATTCTAACTGTTCCAACCTGTTTAAAACCGTAGTTCAGGACTTGTTAGCCTCATAATGACTTTGAAGAAATATTTTGCAACATTTTTCAAGATAGAAAATTTTAATGAGACTGTACTTTGTCATTTATTATTTTAGAATGTGAGATATCTTAAGTAGAAAATATAAAGTGAAAGGGTAAAAGATGCTTTCAGCCTGTAACTGGTATGCTGCCACCAGAGGGATGAGTTGTAAAAGAAAGTAATTTAATCTGAGAAACTTGTTTCAAAAGGCAAAAAACTGCTCTGAGCATAATGTCATAATGGTACAATAACATCATACTTTTACAGGTTGGAGACGGGTAAACGCATACAAAAGATTAAAGGAGCAGTTTGTACAAATTTGACCACAAGTGGTACTGTACTCTCCCTGACTCAAGTTGCCTGATATGCAGACAAATTCAGCGGACCATAATATCTGAATTGACAAGAGTTTTGTCAACTACAAATCTATAACCAAAACCTTTTTCACAAGGTTGCCTTTCACAAAGGCAACCTTGTGTGTATTTTCTGCAGTCACATGTTACTTTACCAGTGAGATCAGCTCGACATGTTGAGTTCTGCCAACCAGATCTCCCTTCCAGATCTCAGCCTTTCTGATTGGTAAAAGGTGGAGGGCGGGACATCGAAATGAAAACAACAAGATTTAGGGGCTGTAAAACAAAATTTTAAATTTTAATATCTCTGATGAACTACTCCTATCAGTTAAAGAAGTAATTGAAAAGAGCATGGTTTATTAATGCCTTTTGATGGCTTAGGGTCATTAAATGATTATTTGACATGCAAATCTTCTGTGTTATAAAATATTATATATTTTTCTATGACAATTGAAATAGTTCATAGGAAATTGCATAAATGCTTGTGGCTGAGTGGGTAGTGCTCATGCCTCGCAGCAGGAAATGTTTGGGTTTGATCCTGTGTGAACAAGGGCCTTTCTGTGTGGTGGAGTTTGCATGTTTCTCTCTGTGTCTGGGTGGGTTTTCTCCTCTGGTTCTGTACTGACCAAGTCAAGCATAAACATCTGGAGATGGGTCACAGGGTGCTGCATGCGGCAACCACTGCTCCTGGTTGGAATGGGTCAAATGCAGGGAAAACATTTTCCTGTTCAGCCAATAAAGATTGAGACTGGACAGTGACTTGAGTGACTTCATCAAGCCTGTAAAGCTCTTCGCTCATGCACGGCAACAATGACATACAGACTCAACATAACAGAAGTACAAATATTTAATTTGTGATCATGAGCTTATATGACCAGCAGAGGGAGCGAAATATTTACACAATTTTGTTTTCTTTTATTTCTTTATATAGCGCGATTCATATAAACGTCAATTCAACATGAAAATGCTTTATAAATCACCGGAGCACGAACAAGGCTGAAAATCCAATACAAGCAATGAAACAATGAACCTTGTTGTATGTTATGAATATTCCCCATCGTCCGTGAACGCCTCTTGTTTCCACTTGTCTCTTGGCGCACTTCACAATCAGAAATCCGGACATTTCAACCGGCAATTTAACGCAGCGTGAGTCTCCCCTGGATTTCAGCATGGAGAGAAAAGGTACAAACCATAATAACAACACCTCATCACTATCATCGCGTTCAGACCACGGGAAATGTATTATTGTTCCCACTAAAGGCTTCTGAAAGTCTGTTTACCTGAGGCGCATTGGGTGAGGAGCATAAGTGGACCACGCGCTTGGCTGCAGGCTGGAGCTAGCGTTAGCATCTTAGCCTCACAAGAAAAACACGTATTCAGACATGACGTTTGTATTATGAACTGGACAGTATACCCGATTCGCTTGCAAATATGATATAATTTCGGCGAAATAGTCGTACAAGTTTTCAGAATAATCTGCGGAGAGTTTTGTGATGCTAAAGCCACCTGAGTGAGCTAGCTAGCATCATCAGTGGAAAGCTAACAACCTGCTAGCACGCCTGAAATCGTCCAAAACATCAACATCATAGTGTATTATCTATTCATAACAATTATTGAATGTCAAAGAAAACAAACACATCTTTATTAACGTAATGTATTATTATTCTCTATGGCACCAAAGGGAAATACACAATGCAGAATTCTGTCCATCAAAAAATGACTTGGGTTAGCTACGTTTTAAAATTAAAGACCTTTTATGGCAAGGCAAGGCAAGACATGTTTATTTGTATAGCACAATTCATACACAAGGCAACTCAAAGTGCTGAACAAGATAGCATTAAAATCATAAATAATCACAGAACATTAAAAAGAAAGATAAAAATATAAAATCCCTCAGTTGTATGCACAGCTAAACAGAACCGTCTTTAACCTAGTTTTAAACATTGTCAGAGAGGAGGCCTGTCTCACATCTTCAGGAAGATTGTTCCAGATTTTAGCAGCATGATTCTGAAAAGCAGCCTCCCCATGTTTAGTTCTGACTCTGGGCACTAACAGGAGTCCAGTCCCTGTGCTCCTCAGAGTCCGGGCTGGTTCATATGGGACTAACATGTCACTAATATATTTTGGTGCGAGGCCATGGAGAGACTTGTACACAAGCAGAGCTGTTTTAAAGTCTATTCTCTGAGCCACAGGAAGCCAGTGCAGAGACCTGAGGACCGGACTAATATGGTCGTACTTCCTGGTTCTAGTCAGGACTCGAGCTGCTGCATTTTGAATGTACTGCAGCTGTTTTACAGCCTGTTTGGACAGACCTGTGAGCAGGCCATTGCAGTAGTCTAACCTACTGGAGACAAATGCATGGATAAGAATCTCCAAGTCTGCTTTAGACACTATGTTTTTGATCCTGGCAATGTTTTTTAGATGGTAAAAAGCTGCTGATGTTACTGATTTAATGTGGCTATTAAAATGTAAGTCTGAGTCCAGTATTACCCCTAGATTTCTGACAATACACCACATATTACAATTACATAGTTGTAGTCAATGTAATTGTAAGCCTCGGTATTTTCTTAATTGATTAGTTAAATAATTCTATTTCAATAATGATAATCACACTTGTTACCCTTGAATGGATAGATGGATTTGATCAAAATGAATAGACCTAGCGTTAATATTAACAATATTATTTGTATGTCAGACTGAACCAACAAACTCTGCAGAGTGTATGTTGAAAGAATAAAATACAAAGAATTTAATAGAAAGGATAAAATGCAAGGCACTTTAGCTGCTATAACAGCTTTCAAATATGACTTAATCAATGCCAAGGGGCGACAGTGGCTCAGTTGGTAGAGCACAGGCCTTTGGGCTGTTGGAGATAGTAGGTTCGAGCCTCCACGAGACCTACTTAATGACTCCCACTGATGTCTGCTGCCGTTGTGTCCTTGGGCAAGACACTTAACCCCACTTTGCCTGAAGCCCCCGCGGAAAGATCAAGGCTGGTGTTAAGTGAATTGGGTGCAGCTCTGACTGCCACCCCCCTGACCCAGAAATGGATTAAGGCGAAGAAAATGTATGGATGAATGGATGGATATAAGTTTAATATGTCTTGTCAAAAATGTATTCTAACATAAAGCTGTGTTTTTCAAAATAATTATTCATGTTACACCAGTTCCCATGTTTTTTGCCTCACTAGTTCTCGCGATGCAAGCCAGGAAGAAGAAAAGCAAGCCAAGGAAACCTGGGAAAAGGTAAACATCATGTTTGTTCCCTTCTCATTGTGCGGATATGAAAACATGCTTCGTGGATTGTACATTATGTTCTTGGCTTAAATATTTATAGACACTCTGGTCTTGTCTATACACCTTGTAACCCATTTTGTCATGTTACAAACTCATTTATTTTGAGAAAAACCACAACAAATATTTGACACACATTTGAATTTCCCACTTCTTATGCAATTACCGGAACTGCTTTGTCTGTGCTTTGTCTGTTAGAACCACCTCTATCGGCATGTGACTCCTTTAGAATGTGGATTGACTGCATGATGATGACTGTATGACAATTACTGATATAATCAATTGGTTGTGATAATTAGTTACCGCCTTAAAACAACTGTTACATAAACAGGAAATGAGAATATGGGTTATCTTGTTTATCTTCCGCTACAGAGCTGTGAACTGCACAAGTTTAAACTGCTTCCTTTGCTCTGTCCTGGCCTCTCCCAATAACACATTTTAAACACATTTTATTAATCATGTTGAACACCGCAAACTAACAAATAGCTTTAGTTTGTTTTCACTGGCAACATTCAAGGTGGTTACCATAGAAATCTTGCATGTTTATAACCAGCAATGCAGACGTCTATAGATACTTTTGCTAGAACAACAGAGGTATACCTGACCGCCCAGGTGACCATAGGAGCCGTGCGGTTGCTGTGGCAGACTAAGTGCAGACCAAATGCTCCTGTGAACGCTGAAAAATCACTGTGCTGATTTTTAGCATTTATTTACCAGTTTTCTGTTGTGGGGTCTGCAGTCTGAGCATGGTCTCCCTGTTTTCCCTTTCTGGAATAGGGCTGTAACATCCTCTACACATCACACGTGCGCCTTTCCACTGCAGAGTAGGCTCACTGCTCGCGGCTTGCACACCGGCAGAATCGCAGAGATGCAGCTGCTGCTGAAGTCATGCAAAAGTTCCTCATGATCTCTGTGGGCTGGTTTGATCAGAGTTTATGGAAGATTTTTTCTTCCAAAATCCCTGTCAAACCTGCCAGCCCTCCTTCTGTTGCGGAACGCAAGTGTTTTGGGCCTGTGGAGCTGATCTAGTGTCAAACCATTAGCACATATGTATTTTGACTGAAAAGCAGCGTTACTGTGCACACCTTGTGTAGCTCGGTGATGTGGACGGTGTGTAGGGGCTGTTACAATATTGGTTATTGGAATTAATTGGTTAGAAGAAGAATTTGACAAAGAGCATGTATAACCGTTGCACTGAGCATACAGAACTTATGTGATCCATACAGAGCTGGACAGCTGGAGTATTATTGTATGACAAAACAAAAATCTCAGTATTCAAAGGGTCTACAGTCCTCGAGCTGTTGTTTTTTTTTTTTTCATTCTTGTTCCAGCCCTTTCTTCTTCGTCTCCTTATCTGCCTCCTCTCTCTACCTCTTATCTTTCACTGTCCTTGTTTCTTTGCTCAGTGCTGCAGAAAGACGCTGCTCTCATAGATGCTCCCTTATATTCTTGATGTCCTGTAGTTTTCACTTCATCCGTTGTAAATAGTGCGTTTTTTGGTCATGTGGCTTTTGGACTGGATCGACTCCCTCAACTCGGTGGTGGTCAAACTGGCTGATGGTCTGCGAAGCAAGTGAGTGTTTATTTGTCGAAAGTCTAAAAATCTGCGACTGTAAAGCAATAGAGTTGGCTATCGGATTGGCCTTTCGCTCACCTGGCAGCAGTGTTTTCCACACGAAAGTGTGGAAAAACTGATTCCAGAGTGAAACAAAACTGATACGGCGCGCGGCGGGGGGCTGTTTCACAGCCGTGTGATGAAAAATGTGTGAACTCTCTGGCTGCAATGACCTCACCACTTCTCCCCTATACAGTAGCCGAGAACAAACGTAAACAGCAGCACTAGATCAACTAATTCTATGTGTGCTTCTAGTGAGGAGCAATTCTTCTTCTTTGTCCAAAAAAAAACACCCAATGCTGTAGTTTCAGTTTCCATTTTCGCTGCTGCTGTTAAATGCAGAATTATGTTGGTGCATTCTTTCGTCTTTGCCATGGCCTGAGGAGGATGTTGTTGAGGAAGTAGTTATACTGCTGGGGGTCGTGCATGTCGTGTTGTAAAGTTCCACTGCCCACTACTGGCCGGGCGCTAGAACTACATTGTTTACAGTCGCTGTGTAGCCGCTTTGCACTTAGAAACCGGACCAAGGTTGTTTTTGCAAATTGCTTTGCAGCATCTCTGGCTAAACTGGGCCATAGTCTAAGTGCAAAACCAGATCTTAATGTTGTTTATTATGGTTATCTTGTGAGGCCCTTTCTCTTTGGCGTCTCTGTATTTCAATTAAATGAACACAGAATTAAACAATTGGTACAAAACTCACAATTTATCTTTTCCTATAGCCCCATTTCCACTAGCCCCACTTGGCCCTACCTGGTGGTACCATATTCCATGGCTTCCAGCAGCACTCTGGCCTCTGTCATTTGGAACACTTTTGTACCAGCTTGGCCTGGTTTGAACCAGCTCCAAGTGTAGAAAGTAGCAGAAAAGAGTAGGACCAAGTAGGGCGATAGTAGTGTGGAGACGGGGCTTGAAGCAGCTATCATGCCATTAACACACTTTTGACAAACATGGATAAGAGCCATTTTGTTTACTTTGACCATTTATAATTGTTCTGATGTGGTTGGAAAATGCATTATTGATCTCTATACACGGACAATAAAATATCCATGTATCGGTTTTACTTTTTACTTCACTTACCATCCAGAAATGAAGGAACTTTTTTTTTGAGTTTGTGATCAGTTGCTGTAATTATCCTCCAAATACATGTTTAATATTAGCATGAACATTTCTCATCCTGTGCCTGAATATACTTTTTCAACGTTGAACATTTTAAGAACAAATGTTATGATGCGTGTAAATTTTGGCCCTTCCACATTATATTGAACATATTTACTTTATCATTTCATGTTTTAGATCCTTAGCTATCCTTGGTTAACAATTTTTTTTGTTTCACCGTTTTTAGAGTGTAAAAAACTCCCGTCGAAACTGTCAAACTTAAAACTGCCGTCTTATACTTATGTCTTAATAAAGTGCACTTTTACCTTTTACTTCAGTTCACTTCCATTTACTTACAATTTTGCTTATGTTTTGATATTTCTCTTTAGTTTTCAGACGACTCTTTAGTTCCCCCAAACTTATCCACACAAAGTCAAATGGGGCTCTGAAAATGCACAATTTTGAAACCAGGTGCAAAGATCTCAACTCGCCGTAACGCCGCTCTGTGGTTACTTTCTCTCCTGATGAACACGGATGCACAATTTAAATTCAATTCTCTTTTATTTACAAACTTCAACAGTCATACACACACTAATTCCTTAGGTTTGCAAGTGCTTTGTTAAGAGAACTCTCTGCTACGTTAGCTCATAGACTGGGCCCTAAAACGGTCCACGTAAAACAAATGTGAAAATGTATACCTTTTTTATACGAGCACTATTACAGCATCACCTGAAGTCTGTTTACACATTTCTGTGCAAACGAACCAAGTCTGGCCTGGATCCCATTGTGTCGCAGCAGGATTTCACAGCATTTGAAAGTGTATTGATGTGTTTCCAGAAATCTTTTTTTGAAACGATAGCGGTTTGACTTTGTGTGGAGGTAGAATAAAAGTCTCCTCTGAAGCCCATGTCTTTGCTTGGACTAGTTTGATGCTTGTTCTCATCCTTGTTACATAATCTTGTCTCTGCTGCCTCCACCACCGCCTCAGAGTGTCACGTCTGAAAGGTCTGAATCGTCTAGGCAAGGCAAGTTTACTTGTGTAGCACAGTTCATGCACAAGGCAACTCAAAGTGCTTAATAAAACAAAACAAAAAACATGAAAACCACACAATTTAAATAAATAAATCACGGTACATAAAAAGAGTGACGATACAATCCTTCAGATGTATGCACAGCTAAACAGAACTGTTTTTAACCTGGATTTGAACATTGCCAGAGTAGAAGCCTGTTTCACATTTTCAGAAAGACTAGGCACGGATTTGTCTGATGCTGCTTTTGAGACTGCACTCTTGATGTTGTGAATTTGCATCCTTCATTTAAAATCATAACAGAAATTTCCCAACAAATATATAATGTGCAGAGGTGTGAATTGTTAAGTAGCTGTTGATTTGGTGCAATGACATTTTGGGATTGTTTCAAGATTCTAAACCAGTAGTGTCAATCAGAGTGGTGTCGGCTGAAGTCAAGCAAATCATAATTTAAAGTCTAATGGCCTTGTTTTTTTTTGTTTTTTTTGTTTTATTTTTCTCAGATTTTATTTTTTATATATTATTGTGCACAGAGTTAAATGCAGCACTGGTTTCACACTGAGTCTTTTCCACACTTTAACAACGAGGAGCGACGGACTGAGATTTCACCAGATTTAGATGTAATTTCAAACAATCGTCCTCGTTTATTATAAAATGTGCATCTTGCTTTTTTGTAAATGTATTAAATATGCCTTTATGTTTTTGTAGTCGATGAAAAAGTTAAGATTACTCTATTTAACGCAGGTTGACCCAGAAATACTCCGTTCACCTGTCACCTTAGTGAGATTTTGTCCTGTGTGCGCAGTTAGATACAGAGGTCGACAAAAGCAAATGAATGAACTGCAGAAGAATGTGGGAGCACCAGGGGGAGATCCGGCACCACAGTTTGAGAAACACTGACTGAATAATGATGAGTTGCGATTAACTTGTTACAGTCTTAATCAATTATTGAAATTATAATCAACTAATTTTGTTCTTTTGTGTTTTTTACCTAACATAGACGTAAACATGCATGATGATTCTGGAATGACTCCAGAATGAAATTAAAACATGTGTACAAAGCATTTTTAATTAAACAACTCTATGTATAACAAGTCCTCACTATGAAGATGGTTCTCCAGGGGAATCACTTGAGCTTTGTTTTTGTCAAATTGGATCTAAACAAACTAACAGATACTCAAAATGATCATTAATTACAGCCTTAAAAAGAGATT